ATATTAAATATAATTTTCAGCAAAGTCCTTGCTGTACACAAATATCTCTATATATTGTGTATCTTCCATATAAAATATACAATTTTGCTTCAGAAGGAAAAATACACGCATAGGCATATATATGTGTTTCCTTAAATTTTCGCGGGTACTTACATGTATGGTATTCAGCTTTGTTCGGGCATTTTCCCATGTCATTATAGTTGTGATTTTAAAGTTGTAGCAACGTTTCGGCAGAATCTAATCTGCCATCATCAGGCTTCTGTATTGTGCTTGACAATGCTTGGAACATTTAAACCTGAGATCCTGTTATATTTTAGTTCAATAAATATACCTTGTCCAACTATTTGGTGGAATGCATCATAGTTTAATATTTTAATTTTAACTACAGTCAAAAATGAGTTAGCTAGCTAAAATTTAAAGGAAAGCCCCAAGTCTATATTTTTTCTCTGCACATATACACTAAGTTGAAATGATCCTTTGTGTACATATATCATGTTTCTTAGGCAGAAAGTAGATGCTAATTTGGAAAGATTTTGCACAAGGTAAAGTGATCAGTGGAGTATATTGAAGATTAATTGAAAAATATTTATGAATTGTGGATGACAATGTTGAAAAAATGTTAGAAATCCCTCCTCGCTCCAATTTTACAATATTGGCAAATGTGTGAATTAAGGTGTAATTCAATTTCCATGGTTCTTACTTTAATTTCAGTTGCCATGATGCCTGCTGCAATAAAAAAACTCGAGAACACACCAATGTATGATCCTCACCTTCTTGAAGAGCTTGATTGGACCCAAAATACTGCAACATTTTCTCCTGCTATTTCTCCTCAGGATCCAGGAGAGGGTTTAGTTCTAAGACCTCTTTGCAGTGCTGACATCAACAGAGGTATTTACTTACTTTGAACTATGTTTTATGGTTGAATTAAATAGGAATGATTGGGTCAAATTGAAAGTTTATTGACATCAACCTTAGATTCTATTAGCAGAGTAATAAGCTTCAAAGCACTTGTTCTCTTAATCCAGAGAAAATTAAGAAACAGTTCAGATAATGACTTTGGAGAACAGTAACCTTTTGAAGCTGAGAATATGCAACATTTTAAAAAACCCTTTTTATGATCCTGTGGTCCCTATTCAAGATATAACAGAATCTGAATATTTTGATTTTCTTATAATTGCATTCCTAATTCCTTCCATAATATGTTGACATGATTCTTAAAACAATTGAGTGTGAAGTGTAGTGGCCACAGACATTGCTGCTGTAGAACTTGGGATGCGTTTGAAGATTAGCTGCTGTTTGGAAGATTTTGGAATAAAGTCTATTTGCATCTTTAAATATTTTTGTGGGGTTTATTGTTTATTACTGTTATGCAAATGTCATGGTGTTGGTTCTGTTATATTATTTGTGGAGTTTTATTTTCATTCTATGGTCTATTGATGGTTTTGTCTTAAGACATCCTAAAATATGAAAACTTTTTTTTAGGCTTTTTAAAAGTTCTAGGTCAACTGACTGAAACGGGAATTGTTAGCCCCCAGCAATTCCTTGGTGAGTATCTCTTTAATTTTTTTGCTATTTTAAAAATGGAAAAGGAAAGTCAGATTCAGTGAAAGAAATTTTATAGTGATTTAACTCCTTAAGATACCCCTTTTAAAAATTTGGAAAAATAGTTTACATTACCACTTAAAGCTTCCTGTATGTTGATCATGGGTTGGAAGAGGATAAAACACCTATTTTGCCCAGAACCCATCCCTAAAAACAATTGCCCATTTTTTATACTGAGTTGCAGGTGGATTGTGTGAGTGAGGGATCAATTGGCTCATACCTCTGGCTTAGATAGCAACTGAAGTAATTACATAGTTTGTAGGCAGTTTGCCAGTTTGACCATGCTGTCAATGCTTGCCTTTCCCATAGAATCCTGTCACAATCCTATTCATCTGCTTGTCCCAGTTCAGGTGCAGTGCATCCTGAGCTAGCAAACATGACAGAGCTGCAAGAAAGCCTGATACTGAGGAACTGTTGAATCCATTACCAATAGTATTCGTATTCCTGCCTACATTTCCACAGAAAATTTCGAACACATGCGGAGTTCTGGGGACTACTATGTTACAGTTGTGGAAGATACTAAGCTAGGAGCGATTGTAGCTACTGCAACCTTAGTCATAGAACATAAGTTCACTCACTCATGTGCAAAGGTATGTACATTAAAGAAAAAGTATGCATTCTGGATACATTCTGGAACTTGATCTTTTTAAATAGTATTAACTTATTTTCAGAGGGGCAGAATAGAAGATGTTGTTGTAAGTGGAGATTGCAGAGGAAAACAGCTTGGGAAACTGTAAGTAATTCATAACTCTGATCACTTATAATTAGGAACTATTAAAGGATGTCTAGATGCCTCTTAAATGCTAACAAAATTCTGTAAGTAAACACATTCTATATGCCAAACTTTTTCATTAACACTGTTGGTGTTCACCTGGCACATAGGTAAGCACTTAGCAGGTAATTCATTCTATCCAGCTGTTTCCCTTTGGGAAAGCAAGTTTCCAGTCATCTAAAGTTTGTTATATGCTATTCTGATGGCCCAAAATAAGCTGTATTTCCCTAATTTATGTTTGAAGGAAGCATGTAGGGCCTAAAAAGCATTATTTCCAATGGTATTGGCAGCTAATGCATAGATTTCCAGTGCTTTATTTAAAAAAACACTTTTCAAATATTTTAAGAGTGATAGCCATTGTGATGCCCAGCAGTGTCATGGTAGCTATCATTTGATAGTAATAGTAGTGGGTATAAATACAGACATGCCCCCTTATTAGGTGCAGTCTCAAATAGTTATCCTTACATCCTGAAAAATTAATTTTATTTTTTGTTATTTTTTGTTGTCAGATTGATGTCAACTCTTACATTGCTAAGCAAGAGACTAAATTGCTACAAAATTACTCTTGAGTGTCTGCCAAAAAATGTAGCTTTCTATACAAAGTTTGGATACTCAGTATCTGAAGAAAACTATATGTACCAAAGGTTCTTCAATTAAAGAATTTCCAGCTGTCATCTCTTAATCAACTATTGGTGGAGGAACTTGTACTACTGACTTCTTTTCAGAAAGCAAATTCCCTGCAAATAAATAATGAATAGATATGAGACTACTATGCTGCAGACTTTGATTTTTGATTTCCTTGTTACCAAGGTAATCTATTATAAGAAGTTTCCTATTCAGCCAGTATTTTTTTTATAGCTAGGAAATGAGCCATCTTTGCAAGATAAGGATGGCTTCTCCCCCAAAGTAAATTTTAATTTGATGGGTTTTGTTTCCTTACCTTGCATTTTTCTGTGATGTGCTGCTTTTTGTTGGCAGCTAAACAGTAACTAGTATGTTGGAAATGTTTTTGTAATTTTTTGTCACAAGGAAAACACTTGCAAGTTTTATCTTTTATGTTGACTTTTAATGCACTTCAAAATGGATAATCCCTAGTATAGATGTGTAGCTTGGTTTTATTGGTTCTATTGTTCTCACAATGGAGAGAAATTATTACAAGTGGCATTCTATGCTTTGGCTGATACATAGAAATACCTCATCTTTGCCTTTTCCAACTTGGTGCCCTTTAGATATGTTGAACCAAAGGTCTTATTCCCAGTCAGTACTATTTCCCAAAACATTGGGAAATCTGTCTTGAACCATTTCACAAATTGAAGCAAAACTTGTATATGCAAAATTTATCAATTTTTAAATATATACTTTCTGTAAAATATATGGTTTCGCAGAGGTATTTTGTGCTTAAAATCTTAGTTACATTAAGTATAATTATTGTCAATGTATTCAGTAGACTCTACAAAAATGTTTCATTATGTTTTCATTTTTGTTTTAGAAGAAATAATTTAGCACTTTGCTTCATTATACACATACCATGTTGGCTCATCCACTCTATAAAAGTAATTAGAACTATGTCTAAAATGGACTCTTGTTTCTGCAGAGTTTTTAAAGAGTTTCTGAAGTACAAGGCCCTATATATGACCCTAAAACTCATCTAAAAATGCAAAATTCTAGTTGAATAATGAGCACTTCTAAAGGAATGCAGGTAGGCCGGAAGAGTAGTACTTTTAGCACCCCTGCATATTATTGGATGGTAACAAGAACAACTCCCCGTTTTCCTATAATTTTAAAGGAAATAACTATAGTGGCCAGTAAATGAGGTTATGCGGTAATGAAGTCTTCTATAATGATTAGCTGCAAAAATTGAATCACAGATAGCTACAGAAAATAGGGAGTTATTCCATTTCATATTTTAAGGTACTCTAATTCTGAAGGTGTTTTAATATTTATTTAATATTTTACAAAAAAATTATTGTAAAACCATAATAAATGGGGTTTGTGATTATTTTGGTGTATTGGTTTCTTCTTAGTGTCGGATATCTTATAGTTTTGGAAATGTCATTAAAATGATCTGTTTTAAACAAATATCATTAGATAGGGAATATTATATTACTTCTCAAACTGAAAACTTCATCTGTGAAGGACCATAAATTGAACTGTACAACTAAACATGAGTTCATTGTCTTATGAAAATTGCTGATTGTTTCACATATCAAAAGAATATATATATATTCATCACCAGTCTACAAGTGCTGTTTAATTAGATGCAAGGATTTTCTCCAAAGTATATTTTACAGCTCTTCCATGCTTTTCTAAATTCTGCTCTTATTAGATGAATAAGCACATATTCCATCAATGTTACTATTCTTTCCCCATCCTAAGCAGAATAATCAGTGTTTCAAATTTTGATTAAAATAAAATGCTTCAGAAACCTGGGTATATTATCCCAAATTGGGTAACACTGGTTTTTCTTTGGGTAACAACAAATGAATCCATTACCCATAACAAGGATATTTAAATTGACATCTAGATTATCACGTGTACTAAAATATATATAAAAGTTTCCCAAATTTTTATGAAGATGCAAATTGAAATTACCAATGGTAATTTGTTGAAATAAATGTCATTTCAATAAAATTGTCATTGTTTTTATAATATAGGTAGTTCACAAGTTACAATCTTTCAGTGAACATTTGAAGTTATAATAGCACTGAAGGAAAGGGCATACAATCTTTGAAATTCAGTAAGACTTTCTGATAAGTGGCTTTGGGTGATGAAAGAAAATGGGAAGCATTCTTTTAAGGGTTCCCCCCCCCCCCTGCAAACGTCTGCAACTCATTTGCTAAACAGACAGAAAAGGGAAAGCAATACTAGCCTTTTTTAAAACTTCAAACAATGCATCGAAACATTTCAGTTTGGGCTGAATGGATGTAGATAGGTGCTCCATTGATCTTAAAGGTTGTATGGAATTAAAATGTAAATTAACAGACACCAGATGTTTTTTCTAAAAGCCCACTGCTTTCAATTGTATCTAAAAATATTGCTGATTACTTGATTCAGATCTTTGCAGTTTGGCATTCATCAAGAGAGTTCTGAAGGATGCTTCACTAGCAACTATAATGACCCGGAAATATTAGGGATGAAAAACAGGATGAAATATTGAAAAAAATATATGATTGTGTCTAGCTTGAAGGGTCAATAATCATATCGATATTTGCCTACTTGAATATTTTGTTGATTCATACTAGAAAAATTGTCTTACAATGGACTCTTGCCTTTCGTCTGGAAGCCAAGTGTAGACAAAAATATATTTTCTTTATTCGAAAGAAAATATTTGTTTTCTATTTTAGTATATCAGTGATAATGATCCCTATTATTTTTATTTCAAGATAATCACAGCAGCTTAATTATTTTCTTCTGCCTAAAGCCTAAATTTGGAAAATGGAAAATACAATCCATGGTTAATTTAAGTATTTTTTTCTTTTTACTCTTCTTATAAATTACATAAAATGATATAAATAATAATCTCCCAACACATGTTTTGCTTAAGTAATAATTTTATCAATACAAATAAATTTCAAGTATGAAAAGTGCATTATTGCAATAATACCTCTTTGTAAGTCCAAAACTTTGGGGCAAGGGTAAAACCATAAAGTGTAAAAAAAAACCAATAAAACAATCAGTGCCTTCTAGTCAGTCAAGGAATCTAATACCTTAAAAATGTTGCCTTGTATGCTACTGAAGGAACAGGTTTGCATAAGGAAGTTAGAATCATCTTCCATTTTAAAATTCATATCTGGTTGTTCTCGTCAAGATTAGAAGCTGCTATAAAACGCCCAACAATCAAGTCCAGGTATCTTCAGCTGTCAACCATTCTGAGCTGCTGCTTGTACACTGCTTTCTTCCTCCTCTTCTTCATGTGTTCGTTTCAGACTTCCTATGAAGCAGGCAGTAAAATTCAAGAGATTAGGCAGTAAGAAAGATGTTTTCTAGGAAAAAAAATAGTTTGATAAGAATCAGACATTTTAAGTATTTTATTTAATCTGACAGACTAAGAGTTCCTTCAGAATTCTGAAAATATGAAACAATTTTATATAAAAATATCCATGTTGAGCAATAGTTTAAAAACATATATTCTACTATTGTGCAAAATTCATTTCACATCTAACCTCTTTGAAAGTCATTTTCCTCCCCCAGACTTTTCAGAATCTCAATCAGAAAAATCTCTCTCTAGTGAAGTGTTACCTTAATTCATATAACCACTTTTTTCTTCATTTTTCTTTGCTTTTTTACTTATTTTGTTTTAAATATGTCTGTGGCAACAGATATAACTAGAATTCACATGCCCCATTTTTGAAGACACTGAATGGTTCACAATATTAATATATATATATATATATATACACTGTTCAAAAAAATAAAGGGAACACTTCAACAACAGAATAACTCCAGGTCAATCACACTTCTGTGAAATCAAACTGTCCACTTAGGTAGCAACATTGATTGACAATCAATTTCACATGCTGTTGTGCAAATGGAATAGACAACAGGTGGAAAGCATAGGCAGTTAGTAAGAAATCCCCAATAAAGGAGTGGTTCTGCAGGTGGTGACCAAAGACCACTTCTCAGTTCCTATGCTTTCTGGCTGATGGTTTGGTCACTTTTGAATGCTGGTGGTGCTTTTACTCTAGTGGTAGCATGAGATGGAGTCTACAACCCACACAAGTGGCTCAGGTACTGTAGCTCATCCAGGATGGCACATCAATGCGAGCTGTGGCAAGGTTTGTTGTGTCTGTCAACACAGTGTCCAGAGCATGGAGGCGCTACCAGGAGACAGGCCAGTACATCAGGAGACGTGGAGGAGGCCGTAGGAGGGCAACAACCCAGCATCAAGACCGCTACCTCTGCCTTTGTGCAAGGAGGGACAGGAGGAGCACTGCCAGAGCCCTGCAAAATGACCTCCAGCGGGCCACAAATGTGCATGTGGCTGCTCAGTCAGAAACAGACTCCATGAGGGCCCAACGTCCATAGGTGGGGGATGTGCTTACAGCCCAAACCCGTGCAGGACATTTGGCATTTGCCAGAGAACACCAAGATTGGCAAATTCGCCACTGGCACCCTGTGCTCTTCACAGATGAAAGCAGGTTCACACTGAGCACATGTGACAGACGTGACAGGGTCTGGAGACACCGTGGAGAATGTTCTGCTGCCTGCAACATCCTCCAGCATGACCGGTTTGGCAGTGGGTCAGTAATGGTGTGGGGTGGCATTTCTTTAGGGGGCCACACAGCCCTCCATGTGCTCGCCAGAGGTAGCCTGACTGCCATTAGGTACTGAGATGAGAACCTCAGACTCCTTGTGAGACCACATGCTAGTGCGGTTGGCCCTTGGCTCCTCCTAATGCAAGACAATGCTAGACCTCATGTGGCTGGAGTGTGTCAGCAGTTACTGCAAGACGAAGGCATTGATGATATGGACTGGCCCGCCCGTTCTCCAGACCTAAATCCAATTGAGCACATCTGGGACATCTTGCTCCATCCACCAATGCCATGTTGCACCACAGACTGTCCAGGAGTTGGGGGATGCTTTAGTCCAGGTGTGGGAGGACATCCCTCAGGAGACCATCTGCCACCTCATCAGGAGCATGCCAGGTGTTGTAGGGAGGTCATACAGGCACGTGGAGGCCACACACACTACTGAGCCTCATTTTGACTTGTTTTTAGGACATTACATCAAAGTTGGATCAGTCTGTAGTGTTTTTTTCCACTTTAATTTTGAGTGTAACTCCAAATCCAGACCTCCATGAGTTGCTAAATTTGATTTCCATTGATAATTTTTGTATGATTTTGTTGTCAGCACATTCAACTATGTAACGAACAAAGTATTTAAAAAGAATATTTCATTCATTCAGATCTAGGATGTCTTATTTTTGTGTTCCCTTTATTTTTTTGAGCAGTGTATATATTATGGGAAAGGTAGAGTCAATCTCAAGAAGATAGTCATAGTGATATCCAAGCCATGGAGATTTATAAAAGTGACAAACAGCAACTTGAACTGCATCCAGAAACTGTCAGCCATTGTGGCTTCCACAGTACAGTTCTCCTCACTTAATATCAGTAATTGGGACCAGAATTTCTATCACTATACAATGCAAATGTAAAATGTCATATCATATGACCACATTGCTTGGCAATGGCAGTCCTAGTAGTAGTCACTGTTGCCACTGGATATCTGCAGATGCAGCAACAATAGAAAATCAAACTTGCTTCCATGGTCTTACCACTATGGTATAAACTCAAAGACAAGCTCTTTTCTATGTTTAATCATTGTCATGTCACCTTTATGTTTCTAGAAGCTAAGTCCCTCATAAATTAACAGTGAATATCCTAAGAACATACAGCCTACATGAAAAAACTTATAGCTATAGCCATATACCCGTATTAAGATCTCACCTGTAGTTACTGAGAGTGATCGCTCCAGCTGCCGAGGTGACATCATCTGGATAGTTAACTTTGCTAGATAGATGGCTTCATATTCCTAAAACAAGAAGACTTGAAGAATTATACAAAACTTGCAGGAATCCCTCTGTCAAGATCCTAAGACAAAAAGCAAAATGGAAAAACCAACAAGAGCATATAAATATTATAAGTAAGGGAAACTGAAATATTTCAGGAAACTGAGAAACAGATTTGGATGAGAGAAAGGAGATAAGCAGATAACAGATAATCAGAGTTGGAAGGGACCTTGTAGGTCATCTAGTCCAATCCCCGACCCAAGCAGGAGATCCTACACCGTTTGACAAATGGCAGTCCAATCACTTCTTGAAGGTCTCAAGTGATGGCGCTCCCACAACTTCCGAGGGCAAGCTGTTCCATTGGTTGATTGTTCTCCCTGTCAGAAAATTTCTCCTTTCCAGGTTAAATCTCTCCTTGTTCAGTTTCCACCCACTATTCCTTGTCTGGCCTATAGGAGCTTTAGAAAATAGCTTGACCCCTTCCTCCCTGTAGCAGCCCCTCAAATATTGGAAGACCGCTATCATGTCTCCCCTGGTTCTTCTCTTCACTGGACTAGCCATGCCCAGTTCCTGCAACCGTTTGTTGTATGTTTTAGCCTCCAGTCCCCTAATCATCCTGGTTGCTCTTCTCTGTACTTTTTCTAGAGTCTCAACATCTTTTATATAATGTGGTGAGCAAAACTGGATGCAGTACTCTAGGTGTGGTCTTACTAAGGCTTTATAGAGTGGTATTAGTACTTCCCTTGATCTTGGTTGCATCCCTCTGTTAATACATCTTAGGATTGCATTAGCTTTTTTGGCTGCTGCTGCCCATTGCTGGCTCATATTTAGCTGGTTGTCCACTAAGACTCTAAGATCCCTCTCACAGTTACTACTATTGAGCCTGGTTTCACCCAGTCTGTATGTGTACTTTTGGTTTTTCTTGCCTAAGTGTAGGACTTTACTTTTCTCTATACTGAATTTCATTTTATTAGATATGGCCCAGTGTTCTAGTCTGTCAAGATCCATCTGGATCTTGAGCCTATCTTCTTGGATGTTAGCTATTCCTGCCAGCTTAGTATCATCTGCTAATTTGGTAAATTCCCCTTCTATTCCCTCATCTAAGTCGTTAATGAAGATATTGAAGAGTCCTGGGCCTAAGACGGAACCTTGTGGCACCCCACTGCTTCCTTCCCTCCGTGTAGACTTAGACCCATTAAGGACTACTCGTTGAGTACGGTTTGCCAGCCAGTTGCGAGTCCATCTAGTGGTGGTGCTATCTATTCCACTTTTTTCTAACTTACTAAGAAGTAGGTTGTGGTCTACTTTGTTGAATGCTTTGCTGAAAGCTAAATACACTGCTCAAAAACTTAAACAACACGACGTAACTCCAAGTCAATCATACTTCTGTGAAATCAAACTGTCCACTTGGGTAGCAACACTGATTGACAATCAATTTCACATGCTGTTGTGCAAATAGAATAGACAACAGGTGGAAAGCATAGGCAGTTAGCAAGACATCCCCAATAAAGGAGTGGTTCTGCAGGTGGTGGCCACAGACCATTTCTCAGTTCCTATGCTTTCTGGCTGATGGTTTGGTCACTTTTGAATGGTGGTGGTGCTTTTACTCTAGTGGTAGCATGAGATGGAGTCTACAACCCACACAAGTGGCTCAGGTAGTGCAGCTCATCCAGGATGGCACATCAATGCGAGCTGTGGCAAGATTTGCTGTGTCTGGAAGCATAGTGTCCAGAGCATGGAGGCGCTACCAGGAGACAGGAGACGTGGAGGAGGCCGTAGGAGGCCGTAGAAGGACAACAACCCAGCATCAGGACCGCTACCTCTGCCTTTGTGCAAGGAGGGACAGGAGGAGCACTGCCAGAGCCCTGCAAAATGACCTCCAGCGGGCCACAAACGTGCATGTGGCTGCTAAAACAGTCAGAAACAGACTCCATGAGGGTGGTATGAGGGCCCCACATCCACAGGTGGGGGTTGTGCTTACAGCCCAACACTGTGCAGGATGTTTGGCATTTGCCAGAGAACACCAAGATTGACAAATTCGCCACTGGTGCCCTGTGCTCTTCACAAATGAAAGCAGGTTCACATTGAGCACATGTGACAGACGTGACAGGGTCTGGAGACTCCGTGGAGAACATTCTGCTGCCTGCAACATCCTCCAGCATGACCGGTTTGGCAGTGGGTCAGTAATGGTGTGGGGTGGCATTTCTTTAGGGGGCTGCACAGCCCTCCATGTGCTCGCCAGAGGTAGCCTAACTGCCATTAGGTACCAAGATGAGGTCCTCAGACCCCTTGTGAGACCATATGCTGGTGCGGTTGGCCCTGGGTTCCTCCTAATGCAAGACAATGCTAGACCTCATGTGGCTGGAGTGTGTCAGCAGTCCCTGCAAGTCGAAGGCATTGATGCGATGGACTGGCCCACCCATTCCTCAGACCTGAATCCAATTGAACACATCTGGGACATCAGGTCTCACTCCATCCACCAACGCCACGTTGCACCACAGACTGTCCAGGAGTTGGGGGATGCTTTAGTCCAGATGTGAGGACATCCCTCAGAAGACCACCTGCCACCTCATCAGGAGCATGCCAGGTGTTGTAGGGAGGTCATACAGGCACGTGGAGGCCACACACACTACTGAGCCTCATTTTGACTTGTTTTAAGGACATTACATCAAAGTTGGATCAGTCTGTAGTGTTTTTTTCCACTTTAATTTTGAGTGTAACTCCAAATCCAGACCTCCATGGGTTGCTAAATTTGATTTCCATTGATAATTTTTGTGTGATTTTGTTGTCAGCACATTCAACTATGTAACGAACAAAGTATTTAAAAAGAATATTTCATTCATTCAGATCTAGGATGTCTTATTTTTGTGTTCCCTTTATTTTTTTGAGCAGTGTGTATTATCTTCAAAATATTTTGCAGTTTACTAATTTAGTCACTGTGTTGAAGAATGAAATGAGATTGGTTTGGCATGATCTGTTTTTAACAAACCCGTGCTGACTGCTAGTTAGTACTTTACTTGTTTCTAGATGTTGGCAGATCTGTTTTTTTTTTTTAAATTATCTTTTCCAGTATCTCCCTGGGTATTGATGTTAGGCTGATTTGTCTATAGCAGGGGTGGGCAACTATGGCCCTTTTATGACTTGTGGACTTCAACTCCCAGAATTCCTGAGCAAGCCATGCTAGCTCAGGAATTTTGGGAGTTGAAGTCCACAAGTCATAAAGGGGCCATAGTTGCCCACCTCTGGTCTATAGTTTCCTGGGTCTGTTTTTTTTCCCCTTTTTTGAAGATGGGAACCACATCAGCTCTTTTCCAGTCCTCTGGTAGTTCCCCGGTGCTCCAGGATTTTTGAATGATATGGTGCAGTGGTTCTGAGATGACCTCTGCCAACTCCTTTAAAACTCTGGGATGTAATCCATCAGGCCCTGGTGATTTGTTTTCATCAAGAGCAGAAAGGTGTTCTCTTACTATTTTTTTTGCTTATTTTAACTTTTATTTCTGGTCTGTCATAAAGTTATGTTTTGGGGGGGTTGAGCTATAGTTTCTTTTTGCGTGCAGACGGATGCAAAGAATGAGTTAAGGAGTTCTGCTTTCTCTCTGTTGCCTGTTACTTCCTTGCCGTCTTCTCTCTTTAGTGGACCGACTGTTTCCTTGATTTTTTTCTTGTTATTTATATATTAGAAGAAACTTTTTTTTTATTATCTTTGACTTTTGTTGCAAGTCTTTGCTCGTTCTGAGGCTTTGCTATCCTGACTTCATCTTTGCAGATTCTGGCTATCTGCTGATATTCTGCCTTAGTTGTATGTCCTTCTTTCCTTTTTTTGTACTTGTCTTTTTTTTCTTTCAATTTGCCAGAGATCTTTGTGCAGCCATGCTGGTTTCTTCTTGGATTTCTTGTTTTTCTTTCTCAGTGGTATTGTGCTGGTCTGGGCTTCTACGATCATACTTTTTAGAGTTTCCCAAGATTCTTGAGTTGTTTTTCCCTTTAGGATTTTCATCCATGGAATCTTTCTCAAGTTCTCTCTGAGTTTATTGAAATCACCTCTTTTAAAATCCAAGACTCTGGTGTCATTATGTTCTGTTGCTTGTGTTTGTGTTATGTTGAATGCTAGTATGACATAGTCACCCTCACCCAAGGTTCCTGCAGTTTCAACTCCCTCTATCACTTCTTCTCTGTTTGTAAGAATTAAGTCCAGTATGGCTGTCCCTCTAGTTTTACCCTCACAACACACCATGCATGTAAATATTGAATTTTTTATTTAAAAAAAGAGCAACTTTTACCCAAAATCAGGCAAAGCAGGCAGGCAGATTGAGTTGCTCACAGAATCATTCAGTGATCTATCTATCTGCCATCAGCTAGCTCAGTCTCTCAAATTTGCTTGCCGTGAGTCTGCACTGAATTTGCTTGCAAGCAAACGTTCAGTCCTAAGGGAGGTTCGGCTGTACTTAAAAGCAGAGCCAAAGATCTAAAGACTAGCTAGACAGCAAGAAATCCAACCATTTCCTGCTTCCTAGCTAATCTAAATTTCCCGGTACAGCAGAACAGATGATGGTTGGAAAAAGGAAAAATAACAATTTAGCAGGCAAGTTTACCGGGTAAGGAGTGAGTGGGCGAGGAGGATACCTGTGGGCCATGTGGGCAGCGCAGCCTTGTGTGTCTGTGTAGCCTGGATTAATTGCTTTTTTGGGGGGGGAGGTGCTCTGGGGGTGGGATTTCTCTGCGGCCCACCAAAATTTTCTCGCAGCCCACCAGTTGGCGACCACTGGTTTAAAGAACACCTGCAGCCATGGAAGATGACAGCTCATTGATGGTTGTTCCAGAATCTTAACTATCTCTGCCATATATTTTACAAATTCTATTAACACTCATAAAACTTTTAATATTCAAGTTTCATATATAGTTTACATATTCTGCTAAGCTTATCCACTTACATTTTCAAGCGTTCCAGTATTTTAAATTTCAAATTAACATTCAAAAAACCAAAATTTCAATGTCCAAGTAAATATATTTCAAAAAAAATAATAATAACCCACTACACTGGAAAATATAACCAACATCCAAAAAAGATGAATTCCTTTCTTTCAAATGAGAACTTAAATACATTTCAGACAATTAAGTATTAATTACTACCTACAGAATTAGTAATAAAATGTACAACATCAAACGGCACAAGTATTTTTACCTGAAGTTGATGAACAAATCCAGCATTGGGATTAATACAAAACCTCCTTTCTTGCACATATGTAAATGCATCCCTAGAAAAAACAAATTATCTATTTATGTCCATTTCATTTGCTGTCTGATTTACTTTCTTAATATTTTCCTTTATTTTTCTTTGCTGTTTTATTTGCTGTTTATTCTTACCTCCATTGTTGGACCTTAGAATAAGATACTAGAATCTCTGTGCTAGTATTAGCCAAACCTACATTTGCAATAATGAATGTGATCAACATGTATCAGACTTTCATACTTATATCCCAAAATATTCTTTATATAGTAATTGCATATTAAATTCCTAATAATACATACATATGACATTTTGGGCAAATTTACTGCTGCTTTTAAATGTAACATGCCAGATATAAATAAATACCATTTGGTTCTGTGGTATACGTAGCATGTGACATTTAAAAGCAATATTGGTGGTATAATGTAGTATTAAACAAACATGGTTTAAACAAAGTTCACCAAAGTTAGAATTAAAAAAAAAAAGGAATAATTTCTATGAAAAATCCAATAATTTGCTTTAATCATAGTTAAAAACATCTAATTCTTTTACAAATCCCCTATACCAAAATACAACAGGCTATTTAGTAAATATTCTTACCTGTACTTCACACCAAATGTTTCCATAATATATGCAATAACTAAAGCAGCACTGAAAACAGATAAAAAAACAAGGTAAGATATGTTGGTCATGCCTCATCAGTGTTTTTTAAAATGTGAATTTTTGTTACCTTCTAGAAATCCCTGCGTTCCCATGCACAAGAACTTTTCCTGAGAATGAAGAAAGTTACTTTACACTGGCTATATAGCATTTCCTCCTCTTGTATTATATTATTTACATTACAGTACACAGTACCATTTATCTGCAAGATTCACAAGAGGGTTTGTTAAGGTTGAACATAATATCAGAATACTTGGAAATTGCAACCCCCAACCCTCAGTACGATTAGCATGGCAAGTGGGAAATCTGCTTGGGCCATCTATTTGTGAAATAGTAGTAAGGTGTTTACCCCGTTTGTGACAAAATGAACACTTACTTCCAGCTGCCACTGTAGATGCAAATAGAAGGGAAGCATAAACATAGCCTCTATTTGGATATAGAAAGCTAACACTGGAGGTTTTTAAGAAGAAACTGGACAGCCACTTGTCTAAAATGGTGTAGAGTCTCCTGCTGGAGCTGGGGGCTGGACTAGAAGACCTCCAAGATCCCTTCCAACTGTTGCTCTATATTCTGATTGTGTGAACATACATACACACAATATTATGAGCTATCTTGGGGATCAGCTGATAAACACTATATAAATTAAATCAGGGGTTTATTAAAGTTTTCAGCGGTTGAATTTGTTCATTTAAAAAAACCAAACTCTTGATCTGCAAAATTGCAGCCAGTTTTTTTCATGGGAAACGAGCTCTGTTCATTTCGCTCTGCTTCTGAAAAACTGCTATGGACCCATCCCAGCTGCATTCCAATGACCTTGCTCCACCCTTCGTCTCCCATGGAACCCCCATCACATTCTTATAGGATTCCATGGACACAGCTTGAGAAACCCTGAACCTACAGTAAATCACAAATCAAGATCAACTAAATGTCAGCAGTAATACCATATACATTTTAAGCTAGACACAGACTTCTGGGCTAGGAAACTTTGTTCTGTTTTATTGGTAAAGGAAGGCTACAGGATTATATCTTGTAGTCATCTGTTCAAATTAGCCTCCAAGGCAAATATTGGCAAATATTAAATCACTGGGGAAAACAACTCAGCCTTTCTAGAGAACTGCAGAGAGCATCCAGTGACACTAGTGCAAAGGGCACGGCTGTCAATTTTATGGGGGGAAGGACAGGTTAAAAATGGAAATAAGAACATTAGGTCATATTCCTGTCCTTACAGAAACACGGCATCTTTGAAAGACTGTAATATTGCTAACATCAAGATAAAATTTGGAGACCTCTGCCACCCAAGAAAACATCCATGCACAAACATAAAGGCCAGGGGGAGGGGGAAGCAGACTGTTATCACAAAGCATCCATTGTGCCACTAACATTCAACAATACCATGGGGCTACAAATGGGCAGGGCGTATATGTGGGTGGGGAGGGCCCCATGCAGTTCACGCACTGCCCATCTTTGCTCTAAGGCATCATGACATTAAAAGTTAATGCATCCTTATATAATGATAAGAAACAATTTGTTCCCTAAAGTATTTGATTTGGGGGTGGGGTGGGGGAGAAACTATTCAGGTATCAGAAAGTTATCAAAGTTGTTAAAAAGGAAAAACATGATATAAACCTATAAATAATAATGGCTATTCTATGACAAAATATTCTTATATACCTTGAATCTCTATATATTTAATATGAAAAGAAGCTACAATCTGTCCAATTTTCAGGCAAACAATTTAAAATACATACCTCCCGTTTGTAAACTCCCATCAATAAACTCCTTAGTCTAAAGAAAAAAAATACCATTTCTTTTCCAATTTATTAAACATGCTTACACTGATAGAAACAATCAGTTTTATTATATCTTATTGAAGTAACTTCTGCACAAAAAGTTAATATTATTCACAAATCATAATAATTATTTACAAAAATGTAATGTTAGCAATTGCCTATCTTCTTTATATTTTATTTAAAATGATTCTTGACAGGGCATAATACAAAAAACAAATGCTTTATCAAACTGCATTAAAATGATTACTTTCAATAATAATCTGACTCACAGTACATCTATCATAAAAAACTTCTCAGGTTTTAAAAAAACCACGCAGGTATTATTACAGAATGCAATAAAGTTTGTAGGAAACTCCAATTACCTCCATCCTCTAAAAATTGTTGGAAATGCAATAACCAGATGTGATTAACAACATACTTTATATAAATTGGGGGGGAAAACTGAGCATATTTAATTAATGGTGGCTTGAGAGGGGAAATTAAATGAAGACAACATTACTTTACTGTGATAATGCATGCAGCATGTATAAAAGGAGCAATTTGTATTGCATCACGTTGATAAAATTACTGGATCATGCAAACACCTGGTGTTTTTTTTTTAAATGTAATGCTACAGAGAGTGAAAAGGAGATGCATCTTACACGTATCAGCATAGACCCCAATAAAATCTGTGGACACTTGCAAACTCCTCCAAATGGAATTTAGATTTATGATTGTAATAGTTTTGATTATATATACCAATTTTATATTAACTCAGTTATGCATGCAAGTACATTACAGAGCACAAAAAAATAGCATTGCTATAATTGGACTGAAAATTGACCAACATCTTAATTTTGTCTGCTGCTTAAAGCATTTTTATTATTGCTTGTTAAGAGTACTGCTAATTGTTTGCTTTTATTATTCATGATGTTACAATACAGGCCAACATTCTGCAATTTCTAGGGCCTCTGGAATCATCCTCTACTGGATCATGCCAGGAGCAAAATTCAAAGGAAAACTTCTCAATAACATTGGTATGACTCCCTACCAATTTTCGGTATGAATTTAAGGGAAAAATAGGTGGATTAATTTTCTAATATGCTTAATGCATATTAAAATCCCTTGCCTCCATTTTAAAAAATTCTGCTCTGCTTGCTCCAGAACACTATCATCTACTAGGGAGAACCAATATGAAAATAAGTGCATCAATTATATCAGGGAACTCAATATCTGGACATTTCTAAATCATATTCTTCACAGTAAAATAACCACTGAGAATGATATCAATTACAGGTTGCATGTGACTGAAAAAAAATCAAATTCCACTATATTTTCACAATGTACGTGCAAATAATTTTCTTTAATCTTTTTTCTTATTCAACAAAATAAACCAGCAAAAATGTAAAAGGACAGAATTGAAACCACAAAACATTTACCTTTGGATAAAACAGCCATATATAGCTGTATTTGATGTTTCGTTTATTGGTATGAAAAGGTTCTATATGAAGGAATGATATTGAGAAGGCAACGTTTACTTCATTTGCTCTATATTGTAAATTGCAGAATGAAAAATAAAGCTCATGTTTACCAAGAAAAGAATGTTTTATGAGTCATAATAGACCATGCTTATCACTGCATTACAGTTTTTCATGTAATATGGTTAGTCATTATAACTCTAATCAAAGATACAAGTTTATTTACCTGAATCATTTCAATCATAGATATTTGTTCACTCCTTTAGCATTACCCCCTTCAGTTCTAAAATGTACTCTTATGAAATAATTTAACACATGATGGACACTTACCATTGGGAAAAACCTTATAATATTTTCAATGGGATTATCAGCAATATCCAAGACCAAATACCTATAATTAAAATAACTGTGTTAAGTACATAGCCAGGACTATTCATTTTCTAGAGTGTTAAACAGCCATAAAGCATTAAATCAAGGAGCTCATTAAGGAAGTGGGAGTAGGTTTACTCCCTACTTTCAAAGATTAAACTTTTTATATTGCCACTTTATATTCTGATGATCCCTTCTCTGCTAAATATTTTAAATATTCTAGACAGAGTTCTACAGAGCAAAATAAAATTAAATGAGAATTTCAGAAGAGGTCATAGTACAAGGATTCATTTTTTTATTCTACATTACTTCAAAACAGCAAGTTCTATTCCTACCATTTCCAAATAGAATTTTACCTAAAATCTTGAGGAATTAGTGTCAGCCAATAGATAATATGAAGTAGAAAGATAAATATAGGAAGTCTTCAACTTATGACCACAATTGAGCCAAAAATTTATGTTGCCAAGTGAGGCAGTTGTTAAGTGATTTTGCCCCATTTTATGATCTTTCTTGCCACAGTTGTTAAGTGAATCTCTGCAGCTGTTCAATTAGTAACACAGTTGTTAAATGAATCTACCTTCCCAAATTTACTTTGCTTGTCAGAAGATTACAAAAAGTGATCACATGACCCCATTGTAAATATGAGCCAGCCAAGCATCTGAAATTTGATCATGTGACCATGAGGATGCTATAGTGATCATGTGAAAAACGGTCATAATTCGCTTTTTCCATAACTTCAAATGGTCACTAAATGAACTGTCCAAAGTTGAGGACTCCCTGTAGTCTGCATTGTTATAAATCAGGTATTTATGCTGAACTCTTTGCCCCTCTTTGCAGCATAGCACATTTGGTCCAGCAAATGGTTTATAAACTAACGGCTTAAATTGTTCCATTCCCAAGCACCCCATAGGTGACCAAACACTTTTTTCCCCAGACAGAGAAATGACGGAGACTCAAAGATTTGTCTGGTTGCATAGGGGACGGTTTGAAATGGAATAATTACCTCAGTTTCAAAGCATCCCCTTTGTTTTAACTGTCTGGTTTGGTTCTGCAACCCAACAGGACAGACAGAGACTTCAGAGGGTAATTAAGACTGCAGAAAAAACAATTACTACCCACCTGCCTTCAATCGAGGACCTGTATACTGCACGAGTTAAAAAGAGGGCTGTGAAAATATTTACAGACCCCTCACATCCCGGACATAAACTGTTTCAACTCCTTCCCTCAAAACGACGCTATAGAGCACTGCACACCAGAACAACTAGACACAAGAACAGTTTTTTCCCGAAAGCCATCACTCTGCTAAACAAATAAGTCCCTCAATACTGTTCAACTATTTACAAAGTGTACACTACTATTACTGTTAATCTTCTCATCATTCCTTATCACCCATCCCCTCCCACTTGTGATTGTAGGACTGTAACTTTGTCGCTTGTATCCTTATGATTTATATTGACTGTTTCCTAGTATGATTTGATTGCTGATTGTACCCTATGACTATCAAGTGTTGTACGTTATGATTCTTGATTCTTAACGAATGTATCTTTTCTTTATGTATACTGAGAGTATTTATACCAAGACAAATTCCTTGTGTGTCCAATCACACTTGGCCAGTAAAGTATTCTGTTCTGTTCTGTTCTGTTCTATTCTATTGCAAGCAGACAAAGCTTCGTCTCTCTCTGGGTGAAAAGTATTTAGGCAGCTATCATTCATCCCGCCTTCTCCGTCCCACTGTCTGTTTGCCCATGACCTCAATCAGGACCAAACTCTTGGCTCACATCAGCCTTCACCTTCCCTGCCAGGAGGGCGAAGAGCCCCCATGAGGCCAGCAGCAGGGGTAGCCACAGCTGTGGTCAAGAAGTGTTCCAACAGCAGCTGGGCCAGCAGGCAGAGCAGGTGAAGCCCAGGGCATGCCGAGAGCTTGACCCGTTGCAAGCAAGACAGTGGGAAAGGGTGGGGCCAGCAGTAGCTGCACTTCCAATCCCATTGTCACCTGCACTCGCCATCTCCTGCACTTAAAAAAAAAAAAGACCTCCCCCCAAATAAGCCCAGTGCTTATTTTAAAGCCCAAAAGAAAGTAAGACCCGGTATCCTAAAAAGTACATATGGTACAAAGGTTCATGATTATTGTTTTGAAAGCAGAATTAATTTAAGATTTTCTTACCTAAATAACTGCTGGAAGTTTGGTTTAATAAAGTTTGCTTCAATGTTTTGTCTTATGCATATTACATGAGTGATGCCATGTTTCTGAAGCGTAGGTAGCTGTAAAACAAAATTATGAAAAATTCAACGTATAGCTGATACCAAGCCAGAAAGAAAATTTAAAATAGAACAGCATTTTAGTAGCTAATAGTTAATTAAGTAATTACTAGTTATATATGAGATCGCCAACAAACAAATTTAACAAATAAATAATATAATGATTACACTAAAATAGCAATATAGAATGTCTTTTTCCTCTCTTCCCCACCCTCAATATATGTCCTGGCTGAAAATATTCAGCATCTATATAAGAGCTCAATTGATTAGGCTCTTTGCCCAAAGCAAATTTAATAAGCTAAAAACCATGAAGAGCTTATAACATAGATGAACTTCTGACTGTTCTATGATGAAACAGTGCATCTGCAGAAAGTATAAATATCTCTTGAATCAATCAATGCTACAATAATGTTCTTATTTTGTTGAAATGTTTCCTATACCCCTTTCTCCAGGCAGAAATCAGAGATACTCAGCAAAAAATTAAAATGCTATAACAATATTTAAAAGGTATAAGAACAGCATGATAAATATATTTTCTAACAATTAAGGTGCATTGTATATTTATACAAAATCAAAAAAGCCTTCCTAAAAAGAGATATACATACTCAATTTGTCATTCAATGCATGACAAAAATCCACAATGAAGGGAGGAAAGGAATGTGTCCTAAAGAAAGCATCTAGGTAATTTACACATAAATTACTCAGTGTAAAAAGGTTACAGGCAACCTACCTTGCTTTTCATAGCTGAAGAGTATGGGCCTAAGAATAAGCCAGGTAAAATTTCCTTCAAAAAAAAGTTAAAGAAAGTACAGTGGGTAAGTGGATGGGTGAAAGAAAACAAACACACATACAAAATTTACAAGGTGCAACATTAATGTGTAATAAGAATTATATTACTGTAATATCAAGATTAGTCTTAAATTACTTCTGGCCCTATTAAGATACACTTGGGAAAAACACATGATTTATAAAGGCCAGGTTTATTTTCTTATAAATCAGCACAGGGCTAAAAGAAAATACTTCACAGCCTAACTACATGCTATATCACAAGAGAAACTTCTTGATCTTTGTGCCCAAAGGCCATGCCAGAATTCAAATAATAACCTCATGTTTCGACAAGCTTAATGAACTCAGGCAGAATACAATAATTGTTTTATAAATTTTATGAATTTGCTCTTTTTTGCTGGGAAGTCACTTGGTACATTTTTCTTGGAAAAAGAAAGAAAGGAACATGAATAAGTATGATTGCAACCCAGACTAAAATGCCAAGAACTGTGTGCCTCTGTACTATAATATCTTGTGCTTCTTTTCCTCCTCAAACTCATTCTGGACTAATCCTGTAATCCACAGAAGAAATTCAAAACCTTCAAAGATTTGAAAAAAGAAAAATATACACACCTCTCAAGTTATTCCAGACTGTCCCTATATATATAAAACTGAATTTTTCAGTCCAATTTTTATTACATGTTAAACCCAAGTCCAATTTTCACAATTTTATTTTTTCCTGTTCAGTCAGTATCACCTTGCTTTCCTCTGAACTTGGTAATTTATATCCAAGGTACATTTCTATCAAAACACTTTTTCTGGTGATGCTTCTGCCTACAAGGAAAATTCAATAGACCACACTTTTCTTTATGACATCTTTTAGTAAGAAAATGAGTTTCTGCCTGCCCTGCAACAGTTAAAGGCAAAACAACCTAGACAACGTATATTCCTGTGTTCTTTAATTTAATGCTTATGTCTCCCTAAGTGCCCATTAGCTTCTTTAGCTTTTTTTAAGCTACAAAAATACTAACAGTGAAACATTCATGCTAAAGAATGGAGTGTAGTCTGGAAAAATGTATTTCATTTCAAAAAAGTTAATAGAGAACCCTGAGCTTTATACAGAATTGTGCCCAACTAACCAGAAAAAAGAACATTTATATTTAGTGCAGCATTTCTCAACCTTGGCAGTTTGAAGATGTATGGAGCTCAACTCTCTGTATTTCCCAGATAGCCATACTGGCTTAAAAATTCTGGCAGTTGAAGTCTACACATCTTCAAGTTGCTAAGGTTAAAAAAATACCAATTTAGATAGTGGGCACAAAGTATCCCCAAAGGATTACACATTTTCTAAGAGGCTAGAAATGAAATGAAGATTAATTGCCTAAGCTAAATACATTTGCCCATTTTTTAAAAAATGTGCATGAGCAGAATATAGTGATTCTCTTTTTTTTTCAGTGTGATAAAACTTTTGTGCTTGTTTGTATATGTGCATATCTGTCTGCTTATTTTCCAGCATGAATGTATGGTACACATTACATATAGATATTTTGCCTATGATGGGAAATTGGGAATGTGTGTATCAATTAGACTTTAGTCTTTATCTCTGCTTTTCATTTAGTTTCTGGTAGCATAGGTTTTAAAATTACAAAATTACCTTTTGTGAAATGGGCACTGAAATAAAAAATTATGGGTTCAGAAAAACAGACTTGAGATTTTAACCTGTTGACTTGACTAGAATTCTTGAACAAGTTTTTTTTTTAAATTATGATAGCCTCACTTCTGTTCTGAGAAATTTTACAAATAGCTGCGGTAACTATTTTGTGACAATTCATTTTTAATAATCCATTGCTCCACAAGGCTTGAGTATATAGCTATATTCCAGTCCTCTGAATGCAGAAGAACAGAGTGACAGAAATGTGTACAGAATATATAATGCTCAGGACTGGCAGAGGTAGTGATTATTTGAACAGCCGAGATTAGCAACTATCTGTACAGCTCAGAAGAAAAGGCCAGATTAGGGTCTAGAGTCTTTAACTCTTTCGAATGGGTATCAAAAGGAAAATAATGTAATGTAATCCCTTGCCACCCTGAGCTTCTTGGTTACAAATCTACGGTAATAAATAGATAATAAAAAGACTACTTTTTAGGAAAATTTCTCTGTCATTTTATAAGAACCATCCTTCCTTAGTGTTGTTTGACTTCTCCCCCACCCTCCCCTTTATTTATGGTTTGCAATATGTAACATGAAATGAATTTGCCACATCAATTTCTCCATTGCCTAATGTTAGATGTCAGCATACATGTTCATGTAGTTGCTAAATCCCTGCAGCAGCCCAAATACCTAGTAAATAAAAATTTCATACCTGCATCTCTCTTCTCATTGGATACGTCCAATCCTAAGTGGAAGAAATAAAACACATGTTCTCATTTGAATATAAGACCAGTCAAAATAGTGAGGTTCTGGAAAAAATGCAAGATGAAAATGACAAGTTAAACAAGCTAACAAAGCTATAGGTTTGATCTTATAATTTTTCATTACTAAAGTATCCTGGAAAATATTTTATACAATTTATGAGGACTGTAATGGCATACAAATTCTTAATCTCACCCAAAGTGAGATTTTTCATTTGTACATGAACCAAAATACAATCTGGGCACTGAATCCCAACTGAAATTCTACATGATTATGTACCATTACCAATTTGCAAAAAAAAAAAAACCCTGAGAAAATATTAGTGATTCAGAACTATTATGGAAAGAAATGTGTAAATAACCATGGAAAATGTTTTAAGGAGGAAATCCAATTTTAAGAATATTAAGACTATGTTGTTAATTGAAAGATTTTCAGAAATTCAATTTCCTAAATATAATCAGTTACATCTCTCACTATCTAATGACTTTCTCTGCAAGTCAGGGCCTTGAGTTAAATATTACTAGTAATAGGTCTACTGCACATTTTGTGCTAAACCATCATTATTAAGCATCATTTTGTTTATCATAACTGACTAAAATGATATTAGCAAATAATATAAACCTCACTTTATAAGTCTCAACATCAACATGCAACACAATAAGCTACAAATAAGCCACACTTTTAGTGCAAAGTTTAAATCCAGTTATGCCTTTCTAGCTTAATCAATTTCTTAAGTCAGCAAATAATGAATGTTTAAAAAAAACTAACAAAATGTTGTGATAATAGGAACTTTTCCCTTGTTTTGAATTAGTTCACTTTGTACATCAATTTGCTGCCCATATACATGCTCAATAAAGGCCAATATAGAGATTCTACACCAGAACAGCATCTAAGCATTGAATTAAATACTACAAAACAGGTAGCAATTGAAAAAGAGCACTGATTCCCCCAAAACTGCAAATGTCTGGCCAATATATAGTAAAAAAAAAACAGATTAGCTGGAATATTTGTGCTAATAAAAAGCACACACTATTCTGCAATAGTTCATCTGATATGACTTTTAGTGAACAAAATTGCATAGAGATTTAATAAGTAAATAAATCTTAAGGTTATCTGTCATTATAGCTGAGAACAGTATTGCAATATAAGTATTTTGAAATGCTTAATGATAGCAAACAGCAAATTATGTTTTAGTAATAATAGCAGAGCATTTATTTCAGACACAAGTAGAAGGCATTTAAATATAAAGCTAAACTTATAAAATACAATTATTAAAAAGCAGCAGCAGAAAAAGCAGGCTGCCCTGTACATTATAACCATTACTTTGCAAGAGCTGGCTGGAATATGAAATTATAAAGGAAATGACATATATTCTTCCTCCTAGAGTGAGAAATTCAGACAAAGACATGGGAAATACAGACTATCATAAAGAGAATCAGATTAATCAGAAAGCAATAGACTAAAGTCTTAATTTGGATCCTCAATATTACATGACTCTTGCAAAAACACAATTAATTTATTATATTATTATCCTGAGAATTGGTTTAAGATGCACATTCTAAGCTGCCTACTAACTGTCTCTAAAACAGATCTCCACAATTTCATAGAAACAAACATCTATTTGAAAACTAGCAAATCATTGACATTTTTCGTAATGCAAAATGTTTCAAATCTGAAATGGTCTAAACTTAAAAGGCCATTTTTAGTTTGCAACAATTCTGACATTACTCATAGTGTTCTCCAATGTTGAGCATTCTGCACATACACGATTTTGGGCTTGAAACAGAAATAGTAAACCTTATCCAGAGTGTTTTGAATATCTGGAACTCAGCTGTAACATAGTGTTGAAAGAAGCTAGAGTAAAAATTAATTTTGCAGTATCACTGATTAAAAAAATAGAAACAGAAATCTGCCTTTAATAACAAATATGGTATTCTTGTGAGAACACAATAACCATCTGAAATTGGCTAAGATGTTAAGCCTCAATTTAAAGGCTAGCAGTTTTACAGAGGACTACATTATATCTAAGTTAATGCCTAAATTTCAGACAATAATGGACTTTGCTCTAAATAATGGACAAAGACCGCTTAGTGGCAAATCCAGTGTTTATTGCCTCTTCTCAAAAGTTATTACTCATTAAAGTAGTAAGATTAAATATACTTTCTCATATGGGGGGTTTGTTGAAAAATCCTATTTCCCACTGCAAATATGCATTATACTTTCGTCTAATATGCAGAAAATGCTAATTATGGATTTATATTAGATATATTGTATGAACTGCCAATATTAGAATAATAATAGAAAATTAGTACCTTCTACTGTTCCAAAATCCCTTGCTGATAAATATCTAGTCCAATATCTGGAGTAGATAGTCTATTGGAGCTATCAAATGAAGTCATACTAGGGTACAGAGAACTGGCTCCATAAAAAAAAAAAGGTAAAAGTGCCATGCACATTCTATCTTCTAACCAACTGTCATTTAGGTCCAAATCTTCCGGAACCATATTAATCATCATTTTTTAGCAGGCTCCATCAAAAGTTAGAAAGATAAAGCAGTCAGGTCTATTTCTCCCAGTTTTACTGAGTTCAACTGCATTTCCTTCTTGCTTGTTAAATTTGACTTAATTGAAAACTATGCCTCTTGGCTATTATAACATTTATCCAAAATCCACAGTTGGACAATATTGTAATTGAAACCAATCAAAATAGCAGAAAAGAGCATGAAAGCTCTGAGTTCTTCATCATTAAATAGCCTGGAAAACAATTCTGGCTGGTCCCAATAAAGGAATTAACAATCTATATTTGGATTTTTCCCCACTTCCTGTGGACCAACACAGGTTTTTATACTATAATTCTGATCAGCGGATTGCAGTATTCTATGTTATATTTTTCAAAATGTAAAATTTATGAAGATTTAGTCCCCACAGCTCTGGTAATTGAAGAAAGTTTGTGTAATCATCTATGCCACTATAATCTTTTTATTTTTTTATTGTACAATCATTTTAAGTTTTTTTGTACAATGTTACAAAATTATACATTTCAAAAACAATTTGGAAGGAAAAGGTGTACCAATTTTAACTGTAAGAAAAGAACAGCTTATGCTATTCCAGCTCCTTGAGTCTGAAAGTTAAGTAGTTAACAATATTTAAAGTGATTAGAAACTTCATAGCTTCTTCAAGATTAGTCAAACTGCTATCCCCTGCTGTGATAGCATTCAATATATACGGAGATATAAAGGGAAGCATAGAAATACAAGTAGGAGCAATGTAAGATACTCAAGCATGTCACAAGAATGGGCAACCTTTGAGTGACATTTCCCATTTTAGAGAGAGCAAGGATGGTAGGATGTAGTGCAAGAATACAAAATAAAATGAGCTTTGCCACAGGTCTTAATGGTGTCAAGAAGCTGTTCTGTCTACAGTTCCATTTTTTAATTTTGATAATGCAATTCTGGCATGTTTCTTATCTCAAAAAAATGACAGACTGTAGTGTCAATGTTCAAAAGATTAAAATAGATTTGGGGGCACAACTGGATCATCTTATAGTATCCAGATATTGAAAGGGATGCCTGGAGGGTACCTGCATTGCTTTAAGCAAATTCCCTAATAGGGTTTTCTCATAGAACAACTCTAGATGGTAGTTGCGCTGTGTGTGCATGTCATTAAATGGGTGTGAGGGTTCCTAGAAGATACTACAGGGCACCAATGTGATTCTATTCATGTACCCTGAAAGGCTAAAATAAGACACTGCATCTCTTAAAGTCTAGTCTGTTGCATTGGGAAACATGCTGTGTGTGGGGGGGGGGGGGTCAAACCATGCAGGAATCACAGGCGCCTTCCCGTGACCGAGGCTCTTTTCCTGTCACTCCTCCTCCTAAAGGCAACAGGATATTTTAAAGGAAGGAGGACGGGCTCTCAAAACAAACCTTGTGACCCGCGAGGAAATGTTTATTTAACGCAGCCGATCAATTACAACGCGAGTTCGCTTCCCACCCACCTGCCTAGCAAGTGGAACACCTGTGCGCGTTTGGCTGTTAAATAGGGCTGCGGGCGGGAGGAAAAAAAGAGAGAGAGAGGAGAGAACGTGTGACAAGGTGGTTTCCCCAGGTTCCAGTCCGGAGCTGGGGAGAGAGAATGGCGGGGGGAGGGATCGCGAGCTTCCCCCAACGGGCGACCGACGGCTGCGCTCCAAGGTGCCGCCCGCCGGCTGGGCGATCGGCTCGCTCACCTCGGAGTCCTCCTTGGGCTGCGGCAGCGCGGGGAAAACCGGCTTGGCGAGCTCCATGGCCGAGATGGGCCGGGTAGGGCGAGGCTTCTTTCCTTCCTTCCTTCCCTCTGTATCTCTTTTTTTCCCTCTTCTGTCAGTCAGCGGGGCAGAGGGAGAAGAAGGTCGGTGGGCCTCGACGCTCGAGCGGCGGTGGCCAAGGGGCTGGCAGGGAACCGAGGGAGATGATGATGACGAGGAGGCGGCGGCGGCGGCTCGCGCCCAGCCGCCATGCTGTTCGCAGGCTACCCCTCCCCCCCCAAGGCAGGCTGGCAGGCGGTCGGTCGGTCGGTCGGTCAGTCACTCCAGGCTCCGCTCGCGGACGCCGTCGCACGCGCGCTCCGCTCGACGCCTTTCGCCCCCGCCCCCCTCCCCTCTTCACCCCTCGCGCTGCCCTCCGGGGCTTTCTCCAACCGCCGCCTGGTGCCCAGGCCAGTCGGGATGGGTGGGGAAGCCGAGGGGCGTGGCGTTGGAACGAGCCGGAATGGGAATGGGTGTGGTGTTGACGGAGGAGGAGCCGCCCCTGCTCGGGTCACAGGCGGGAAGGGGGCGTGGCCGGGCGCCAAGGTCCCGAAGGGGTGTGTGACGGGAGTTGAGAGGAAGCGGGCGTGTCGGAGAACTGAGAGGACGCGCTTGTCCTCCTTTTGGCTCATGGTGACGCGCATGCGCGATGGAAGGAGAGCGGCTGGCAGGCCTTCGTGCGCGGATGCGGGAAGGACGTTGAGCGACAGCAGCCAGCTCTGAAGAGGTTTCTCTTCCAAACCCCGTTTCTGTACAAAAAGGGCCCCTTTTTATAACTCATTTAATGCGGCTTTACTCAACCTGCTTTGCCAACACGGCCATAGGTTGCTTTTAATCACCTCTATTCTGCCTATGTTAGGAGCCACTGCTGTCCCAGCTTACAATAAAGATTTGCATAATTTCATTGTGCATTTTACTTAGCCACATAAATAGCTGGGACGGTTCTCATATCCTAACATGCGACTCCAAATTCTAGTTCTAAAATTCTATTTTGCTTTGGACAGATGAACGTAGAACTCCATCTTTATGTCAGGTATTGATTGCCCACATTAATTCTGATCTGCTCTGGTGAATCGGCTGCATCATCAGTTTGTGTAGCTTTTCAAACCTCTCGATGTATGTCAAAAATGGTATTAAAAAACCAACAGGCAACTTGAGAGAAATAATGAACAACTCTTGATTAAAAAAAAAGTTTGCAATGTCCAGGGCTCTGTATTTAGGCTAACAAAGGAAGAGAAAAAAATTATAGAGGTTTTCAGAAGGCAAATTTGTAGTTGCTATGATAAAAGAATGCCAGATTAAATTGACCTTTAGACTAATCCAGCAGGTCTCCTTAAATGTTCACCCTGTTTATTCCTAGTTTGTGGAAGTAATGAAATACTAAGCAAAACAATACTCATGTTAGGATTCCCTACCTACCCTGACATTTTTAATTTAGTGTATGCATATATTGCCCTCCTCCCCATATCCTGTTCTGCTTAATTGTGGCTGGGGTATGTGTGAGGGACATTTCTGGGAGGGATGGGTAATCATGTTGAAGTGTGCACCAAGAAATTTCTAGGAAGATCAGATGTGATCCTTCTTTTCTTTTATATACACTGAGAGCATTTGCACCAAGACAAATTCCTTGTGTGTCCAATCACACTTGGCCAATAAACGAATTCTATTCTATTGATGATCATCCTATCTATCAAATATATAGTTCTATCCTGACCAGCTCAAGGTTGACTCCCCCTTCCATCCTTCCAAGATCAGTAAAACGAGGAGCCATATTATTGGGGAGCGGGGGGCAATATGCTGACTCTCAAACTGCTTAAAAAATACTGTAAAGCACCATGAACGTGTATATAAGTGTTACTGTGATTGCAAGGCACCTAAGAGCTGTGGTGATGCACTGGTTAGAATGCACTATTGCAGGCTAATTCTGCTAACTGCAGACTGCCAGCAGTTCAGCAATTCGAGTCTCACCAGCTCAAGGTTGACTCAGCCTTCCAAGGTCGGTAAAATGAGGACCCAGATTGTTGGGGGCAGTACTGACTCTAAATCATTTAGAGAGGGCTGTAAAGCACTGTGAAGTAGTATATAATCCTAAAGGCTATTGTTACTGTGCCACAGTGATCTAGGAAGATGCGGAACATATAACTTTCAATCCATACTGTGTGGAAAAAGGCAATGGTAAACCACATTGATAGAAAATATAAGCATCCATGTTTATGCTCTAACTACTGATGCATAGTCTGTTCATATATGAAGCTGTGCTGCTTGTGACTGGAGACTGGAATATTGAGGTTGGAAACATGAAAGAAGATAATGTAATGAAGCTGACTGTATGGCTTAGGAAACTGAAATGAAGCAGGAGACCGACTTATCAATTTCTACCACTCCAATCATACTTTCAAAGCTCGGACTGTCTTCAAACAACCAAAACATCTTTGTACATGGACATTACCAGAACGAATGCATAGAAATTAAACTCGCTAGGCATTCATTGATTTTGATTGTGGGAATCTGGCAAGGGAAAATTGCATATCATGATTATGCAACCATGGGATTCTGCAACTCTCATATGAAGTGGTTGCCAAGTGTCAAGATCATGTTTACGTGGTCATGGGGGTGTTGGCATATCTGGAGCTTTGACTGGTTGTATTTTCAAGTCACTGAATTAATCAAGGATTTTTGTGTACTCTCTATAAAAGATGCAAGTATTTCTCTTCCTCCAAACTACTCTAGAGCACTTGGGCAGAGCTGCTGGGGAATAGAAAACAAACCTTCCAAATCACCTTTGGAAAGCAGCTTACAGATAGAGCCATCAGTTCTGGTTTTGACCAACCAAAGACCAGGCAGAATATAAAGACCATGTTTGTAAATCTCTTCTTTGGTACAAATCAAATGTATTTCCCCTTCCTTTACTCAGACAAAAGCAGACATGTCAGTTTTGACATTCTACAAAATGTAGTTTTCAGTAGCTTTGCAGTAATATAATAGAGAAGTGGAAACTACATACTGTATATTGAATTGTCTCCAGGTTTTCTTCCCTGCATCTAGTAATAAGACCCACAAATGTCTAGACATAAATGTGTTTTAATTACTGTATTTGAATTAAATTTCTTTGCAGGTGAGATATGGCTGGTTTGCATTTCTATTAAGTGTTCCGTATACTGTATTTCAAGACCCTGTTCATACTGCCAACAAGTAACACATTTACAAGAACCTCTTCCATATCAGTTGCCTTCTCCTTTGGACAAGGCTCAGAGATATTCTAGCCCCTACTGGTTTATTAGAGATTGACTAAATATTTACTATAGTAAATACTGTAGACATTTTAATGTAAGAACACTTATATGAATTTTCTACTATACATTATCATACAAAGAGATGCTTTCTTTTAAACAGAGCTTGCATTCAATTAATTGGAAAAGATGGAAAACTTCTTGGGAAAGAACTTCAGGAATGCACCTTATTGGAAATTGATCTATGAAACAGGAAATCCACAATTCAGGTCTTATGCCTAAACTGTATTAGCATTTTGAAAATAATTCATTCTGTAATGACTTCAGTTACCACTAAGTCAGTTTCCCTTTTTCAAACAATAGTTCCGCCTTCCTCAGATATTGTGTAGAACTATTTCTCTACTATCATCTTTGACCAGCATTAAAGTTAATGTGTGGAATGTAACTGCCATCACCCATCATCAGCAAGAGGGATTTTTACACTGTAGGATGCTGTATTAGGAAAGGCTGATTGTCTAACTTCAGCCCTATTTCCCCTTTCCAGCAGAGTTAATGCTGTACTCTTAGATGATATATAAAGATTTCTTGCCAACCAAGCCCTTTGTAAAGTTAAGCAGGACAACTACCTCGCAGGTACACTTAGGTGGGGCAACGTCCAGCAAAAGGAGAGCATTACCTCATGTTCTCCATTTTGGCAGCTTAGCCTAAAATCAATATTGTCTGGCTTTTTGAATTTTCACTACAGTAGTCATTCAATCTTTTGTATAGTGTGCTTTTCTAAATTGTCTACTGCTTTTATTCCTTTGTCCATTGACAAGACTCAATGGCCTATATTTACATGTTAATTTGCTTCCTGGTTCCAGCAATTGGCTTTAATGCAACACCTTCAAATATGTGGTCACTGTGGTCTGTAGATTACATGACTCATCATACATTTCTGGAATAAAATTTAAAAAGCACTTCGTTGTCAAGTCTATGTAATTGCTAGCAATAAAGATTCATTGGAAAATTATTGTGATTAGAAAACTAGTTTTCTGAAACAAGAAAATATAATGTTGAATACACATAGACCTAATTGTTGTTTTTTTGCTATAATTTTTGTCATAGATGTCAAATTTGGAAGCTGGGGTGTCTTCTTTTCCAGTTGTCCGTATCCCCTTTTGCCTAGTCAGGTGTCTGGTAACTTTCGTCAGGGGCTGCAGATTAAATTTAGGGAAATTTCAGGAACCATATGTTGCCCAATCAAGGAGAAAGTGAACACAGGTAGTCCTCAACTTAGGATCACAACTGGAATCAGAATTTCCATTACTAAGAAAGATGGTTGTTAAGTAACTTGTGTCTAATTTTACAATCTTTTTTTTTTTTGACACTGTTCATAAGTGGATCAATGCAGTTATTTAAGTGAATCACAGCAAATTCAACCTCCCCCACTGACTTGGTTCTCGGAAACCAGCTGAGAAGGTCGCAAATGGTGATCACATCACCCTGGGGCAGTACAACTATCATAAATACATGCCAGTTGCATCCAAATTTTGATTGTGTGACTGTTGGGATGCCGTGACAATTGTAAGCGTGAGAATCAGTTAAAAGTCACTTTTGTCCGTGCAGTTGTAATTTTGAATGGTTACTGAGCAAATGGTTTTAAGTCGAGGACTACCAATATGGTCAAAATAGTGGGAATGTCCAGAATAATGACATTATGCAGTTTCTTTGAATAGACAATGAAAAAAATGATACAAAAAATGCTTCTAAGGAATCTTCCTATTTTGTCACCATCAGATGGCAATGTTCATACAATTTGCTAGGCCAAAGATACCTACAACATATTGCACTATAACATGCAGTATGAACCCAGCTATTATAGTTTATAAACTATGGTTTATGATTTAGTATGTGGAATGAATATGGCTAATTGCAGTTTAACTAACAGACAAAATTAATCTATGATGTAGCAAATATCAAGCCCTTCTTTCAGCCTTCAGTTTTGCAGTTCAAAAACTCATGAAGCTACCAAATTAATAAAAGCCAATGTATATATTCATTATGGATTTGCTCTTAGGCGATATGTCCTCAAGTATGATCTTTGAAATCACAGACTCAACTATTTTATAATAATTCATAATATGTTAGGATTAGATTTATGGCTCATTGCATACATTACAATGGGCAGGACTTATAGAATACCTTAAGCCACAGTGTGGTTTCTTCTTGTCTTATGTCATGTGAGCCGTTCCATTAAGTTTCAGGTCAAAATGATAGGAAAGATCAATTGGCAGTATTTTGTGGGCATATCTAGTTATCTGAAATATTATCTTCTTATCTGATCTATAAATAGATTCCCCTGACTTTGGAAATGAGAATAGATGTTTGCAAAATAGTTCAGAACAAGAACACATAGACATTGTATCTCATCAAAGGTTAACCGCCTACTCCTAAATGAAAAGATTGCTAGAAAGTAAGCATTAAATAAGGAGGACCCTGTCTTAATTTACTTACTGCCAAAAGGAGGGCTAAAATATATGCTCTGTAACCTAACCCCTTACAGTAAACCTGGGAGAATCCAACTTTTTTTATTGCTAGGGGCCATTTTTATATTCAGTGCAATGTGCCTGGTTCTAGTTTCTTAAATGCTTTAAACCAATTTTGTGAATGATTATGAACTAGCTCTTGTATGTTTGCTGCAAGAGAGATGCTTTGGGAGTAAGTAATGATTACATGGAAGGCAGAATACAGAAGTTCTAATTAAATATTTTGCTTTGCTTCTTTGGTCTAGGCAGCAATCAGGGTACAAGAGTAACCATAGTAGGCTATTCTGTATTTCCCTCTACTCGTGTTATAAAAAGCCAAATTTAAGGGAGGCAGTTATGCAATGAACACAATATTAAACATTTTTTTCTGCTTTCATTATTTTGAGCATTCTCAAAGCTGGGGTTTTTGGGGGAGGGTGGGGGGGGTGGTACAATGTCATGAAGCTAACAGATCCTGATATGCGCTGGGAATGTGTCCTAGGCCTACATCACAAGTTCTTAACTTCATCTTAAAATGGCCCTTAAAGAAAACTAGAAGTCAACCAGGATATTTAAACAGAAGAACATGCTACATTTTTAAAATTTATTCATCCTAATGTGTGAAAGATTTAAGCTGTCATATCAAAAATAAATTGAGAAAAAGTATCACTTCTGATTTTTAAATGCTTTTAGCTTCTCAAATAAAAACACTGTTCTATGAAAAGCAGGGTTTCTTAAGATTTAGACAAGATACCCAAAACTTATTGTGGTCCAACATCTGATGATGTTCCTTCTCATTTACACGATGCTGAGGAACCAATTAACAAACTTGATTTAAACAAGATGTATTTTACTGTTTCAAAGAAGAGAAAATAATAAATGATATAAAACAAGCATGCCACCTTCAAATCTGCCAGATGAAATCAAAATAGTACATTTGATAAAGTCATTATCTGAAAGCAGATTTTATACTGCATATGTGTGGGGTTGAAAAGCCATCTTGTTTTCAGAGGGCCTCTTGTTGCAGCAGACTCCTACCTAATATTAACAAATGGCTAACTGCCATCATTAATACATAGACTTGAAATAACAACACAATCAAGGAATAGTCTGTTTCTCATTTTACCTAGGAAGCCCCCACATTTCCCATGCAGCAGTCACTGTCAGCCATTAACCATGTTGTATAGGACTTAGACTGGTTTGTAATCCAACTTAGACTCCAGCTTCTTGGAATCTGCAACTTTCCTAACTGCCTTCATGAAGTCTTCCTGAACTACAAAGTCATGATCAGCACGAATAGCAAACATGCCTGCAGAAAGACAGTGTGAAAAACATATTTATTGGAAACAGCAGGGCTTGAAACCAGACTCTGCACAATAGGTAAGATTTCCTTTGAGAAACACAGAAGATGGAACTATAATAACTGCTCCTTATTCCACATAAAATATTTGTGTCAAATACAGGCAGCCTTTGACTTATGATCATAATTGAGGCAGGAATTATGACTGTAAAGTCGTGCCAGTTGTTAAGTGGGCTACTACATTACTGTGCCAAACTTTACAACCTTTTATGCGGGAGTTGTTATATGAATCGCTGCAGCTGTTAAGCAAACATAGCACTTGTTAAGTATCCATTGTCTGCAATGGGTAGTTTGGTTTTTTTTACCAGAAATCAGAAGTAAATGCTGGTTTCTGGCAAAACTGTCAGATATTATGATCGTGTGACTGCAGGATGCTGCAGATGGGTCATAAATGTGGGCTGCTTGCTGTACACCCAAACTGATCACATGACTGTGTGAGTAGCCATCGGATCTTCAGACCTGGGAAGGTCTGCCAGAACTCTGAATGGTCATTAAGCAATTGATCATAACTTGAGTACTACTGTAAGGTTTATTTTAAATTATTACACATCCTTGATTTAAGTCTCACACCAGGTTTTGCATGGCAAGTTGAGGACTTGTTGTGGTTAGCTGGCAGCAGGTGCGGACGGCTGAGGAGAGTGAGGACTCAAGATGAGGGGCCAGGATCATTAGGGAGTGGACTGATGCCTTCAGAAATTGTGGGGGCTGGCAGCAGTGATGAGGACGTTCCCAAGGAGCCTGTGCCAAGTGCGCATGCGCGCAGGATTGCTCGTAGGAAAGAGCAGCTACAGCAGCATGGGTGACTTGGGAGTAAGGTTGCAAAGTAATGGCCCCTCCTTCAAGAAGATAAAAGCCAGCTGTGAAACGAAAGTTCTTTGCAGAAGGCAAAGACGTTTTGAAACTCCAGCCTTGTGGACATTCCAGTATCCTGAGTTTGTATTTGAAGATTCTTGTATTGCAAATTATTTCTTGTCTGTTATCTTTTGGGCAAGTCTCGCACAGTTTGGCAAGGCTTGTGCTTATCACAGCTAATTATATTGCAGAAGCATTACAAGGTTTCTGTTCCCTTTGGATTGTGTTTGATTTGTTGGAAAAGGGCGAGGGTCAGAACAGAACTTCATTCCACAAGGGGTGGGACCAAACCCACCTTGAGAGAAGCTTTCAAGAGTTTGAAAGAGTTGAACCTACAGTTTTAAATATATATTTTAGCCCTTAAACCACTCAAGCCAAAGAAATACAAAAAAGTCTCACCCATTGGGTGTGCATGTGTGCAATGCACTGGCAGCCGCACAAGAGAGAATCGGATGCCACAAGTAGTCCCTGGACACTTTTATGTGCCCTATGTTAAACTAAGAACTAAGGAAAGTAGAAAGAATTCATTACCTGCTTCAGTACAGACATTCCTTAGGTCAGCACCATTAAATCCATCGGAAAGCTTCACAATTGCTTCATAGTCTAATAGTAAGAGTCAAATTGCAAGGTTAATCAGAACTGTGACCCTAAAATACTAAAGAATCTCTGGATCTTTTCACTATCTATCAAGCTTCAGTGGAGTGAGCGAGCAAATCAAGGTTTCTGATGCTGACTGGAGTACTGCAATTTTAGAGCTATACAATAATCTGGGAACGCTATTTTGAGCCAGTTGAAGATTCTTCAAAACTCCCCTTGCAAGATCATATTTACAATAGGCTGTTTTGAAGTGTACTAGACTATTTCCAAAAGTAAGATGAATACAATTCTGGAAGCAGGGGCAACCAACCCATGGAGCATTTCTACATTGCTAAACCTCAACCACAACTAGGGCCTGCTTTATGCTGTTCTAAACCTCCAAGAGGAAAAGTAAATTATATAAAATATATAAATACAGTAGGTAAATGTTTCAGAAAAAAACAAAGGATTATACTTTAAAAAGCTATTGTGTGACTGACAATTTCTGCCCCAAACAGACCAAAACTTTACAATGAATTGCAGTAAATATTTATGTACTGAACAGGAACTGTATAAAACAGTGCCTTAAGATGCGAACGTCATCTTGGGAACTTACCTATTTCTCCATGTTTAGTTATAGGTCCAGCATGGATTTTCAGGATGTCTAACCTAGCTTGTTCATTTGGCAAATCAATATCTAGGTGAAAAGAGGTGTTTTTTTTTTCAATTACGAATTTTGGTTGCATACCAGACAAAGCCAAAGGCTTAAGCTAGCATACTGAGTTTACTCACGAATCTTCCTGTCCAATCTTCCAGGTCGCAACAATGCTGGATCTAGAGTATCTGGTCTGTTTGTAGCCATTATCATTTTGACTCTGTGTAAAGTATCAAATCCATCCATCTGATTCAATAACTGAAACATATTGCAAGGAAGCATAGGCTTTAGTTAACTTTGGTGTTTTTCCACCAAGAAGTTGATTCCAACAAGACAATTAAGAAAAATGTATTGACAGTTGTTGTTTTGAACAGCATTTGTCACATTTCAGAAACACAGGAGTTGGGATACCAAGACAAAACCTTAAAATCCATGAGAATTTTAATTCTCAGTTAGAAAGCGTATTTATGAAAGTTGTAGTTTTTGCAGAAATGAAAACATGAGCTTGTTCCTCTGGCCAGAGCAGTTGTCAATAGGAATTTTATATAAAGGCCATTCATTTTATGGAGTTTTGATTTACCAAGTGAAGGAAAAGTTTCTCTCTTGTAAAATACAAAACCCAGATACATAGTAATTATAAAAAGTCACTTAATCATATCTCCAGTTATATAACTGGACAATATAAAGTCACAATTTTATTCAAAAGTAAGAGTACACTCAATACAGTACAGAAAATCAAACCAATCTCAATGTTTCACTTTTGGTTACCTGCCTAAAATTAGTGTTTGAAAGATATCAGACTTAACATATAACTTTACCTCCATTAAAGTTCTCTGGATCTCTCTGTCAGCTGACGTTCCCTCAGAAAAACGGCGACCACCTAAAGAAAAGAGCATGGAAGAGTATTTGGTATTTCACCAAGCAGAACATTTGACATAAAGTTTTAATTTAGAATACAGCCAAATATAAAATGATATCCAGTATTTTCAAAAATGTCTGATGATAGCTGACTTACATAGGCATTAAGTTTTAAAAGGTATTTGCCCAAAAAATAAATCAGTTTTAATTGCAGCTCCCCTCCCTCCTTCAGCATGAAAGCCTGATGAGTGACTTTGGACCTCTTCTTAACCCGACCCACCTCACAGAGTTGTTGTTTCAAATGGAGGAGAAAGGAGAATTAGATACGTTGGCCGTCTTGAGCTATTCATAGAAAAAATAAATGCAGCTTAAAAATAAAATAAATAGTATAGAATTTTTGCTGAAGAAAGGTGGTCAATGCTAAGGAGAAATGATCAAACTTTATTGGGTGCCAGCTTTCCAAGAGAGGAGGAAGGGAGGGAGGGAGGGGGAGAGAGAAGAGAGAGAGAGAAAGAGAGGGAGGGAGGCAGAGCAATAGAAAGATTGTTATACACTTTGTGGATCAGAGGTGGGAAATCCAAGGGATTTGATTCACCTGCAGTTTTTTTGAGGAAGTAAGGCAGGTGTTAGAAAGAGAAAAAGGCTGTTCTATTGTAAAACTAAAATCACACCTCTGTGACAATTGGAATTTTGAGACAGCCAGGCGCCCAAGCGCTCCATCATTAGATGAGCCTTTGGGGGATGGGTGAGAGCTTTCTTTTCATATGCAAGTAGTTTGCAACAGGAGATAGAAAGGAGGAGGACAGAAAGAAAAGACAAAAAGGTGGTGGGAGAGGTTGGAGAAGTGGTTGCAGTTTTATTATTTTTCCATCACAATGGATTCCAGGCAGTTATATTCGAGAATGGCTGCTGATAGCATACTCTAGTAACATATTGGACTTTAAGGGTCCCAGTTCTTTGGTATAGTGAGATTAGTAGTTACATTGTTTACTTTTTTCATTTTCAACTCCTGCTAAGTTCATTTTCCCATCCCAGTCTTGAACTTGCAGGAACAAAGCAGTTCTTTGAACAGCTTATAAAAAAACTTATCACACTTTTAGATTTTAAGAAGCCTGCATTCTTACCAATAGCATCAATTTCATCCATGAAGATGATACAGGGCTGATGGTCCCTGGCATAGTTGAACATTTCTCTAATCAGCCGAGCGCTTTCCCCAATGTATTTGTCTACAATGGAACTAGACACAACCTGTGAAAACATTATCAATGAGTGATACTTGAAAGTCAAACAAGTTTGGATGAAGAGTTCAGGGAAAAAAATATTTTACTTACCTTTAGGAAATTGCAGTCTAGCTGACTGGCAACAGCTCTAGCCAAGAGAGTTTTCCCCGTTCCTGAAGTGACAAAATACCAAAGATGATTCAAGAAGTAAAGCATCAACATGCCAGACATATAGTTGAGATTACATGGTGAAGCACTACAGTGAACAGACCTTCAAGGGCCTGGCTTCAGCCTTTGGTAGTATATAAGGGCTGAACTCGTAAAGTGATAACACCACTTTAACTACCTACAATTCATCTGATTCCCCCCTTTAATTCAGCCATTTTTGCTAGGGGTGGCACTTTTACTGAAATGAAAATATGGGCCTGGGACAAGAAAACCTAGGTTTGTAAAAAAAAAAAAAAATTCACAGATTAGGAAAACCTTGTTCTCAAACTGGGATGACTTTTAACCAAAAAGTGCCTTTCCCATGGGACAGGAATATGATATTAAATCTTATAAATCAGAAAATAAAACCATCCTTCCAAAAAGGGTTTTAAAAGCTCTAAATAAAATACAGACAACTGAATAGGTCTGAAACAATCCTAAATACCCAAATATCCAAAATAAAATCCTTGCAACAAAAAGCTTCTATTTGAATCTATTTCAAAAAGTTTTTCTTCTGGCCTCTGCCATAAGTCTACTTCATTTTTCTTATCCTAATTCAGAACAAAAGGGATAAGGCCATGTGCTTGAAATGAGCAGATCATGGGGCTTCCAGATAGAATAATATCCCTCACAGTTTGCATTTGGTACATCTCTGAACCAAATCAGATTATATCTTTTTTTGTGAAATTATATTTGTATCTTTCTTTGTGAAATTGCCTACAATATGTGTGGATGATAGCTGAGAATTTATGCCAAAGACTCTGAGGACACATTTACTTAATTCTGTCTTTTATCTCCCAGGATCTTCTCAGAACTTGTAAACTTACACTGGAACTTGATAGTATAGAAAATATCTATTTGCGCATGAAGTAAGAATGTGCTTGAGTTGGTCTGAAAATAAATATCCCACATGATGTACCTTTTTGCTGAGGCGTAAGAGATACAAAATTATTAAAGTGAGCCTACCTGGTGGGCCATATAGCAAGCAGCCTTTGGGAGGTATAATCCCCACACGCTGGAATAATTCTGGATTTGTCAGGGGTAACTCTATAACCTGCAAAGACAAAAATCTGTTTTATGCTCAAGTAATTCAATGTGTATCCAAAGTCACAAACTTTGTGACATTTATACAATATTCCTTCTAAACATCTCATCTATACTTTAGATTTATTTCTTTGAAACAAACTCACTGCATTGTGGAGTTTGGTTAAAAGCTCTGGTTTTAAATTTTAAAACATAAGCAGTTCCATTTATGTATTTTCCTGACGTTCTGCAATGGGCATCTAATTGACACCACAGAATCAGATATTTTTATTCTTTTACAAAAACATGAGTAGCTTAGCCATAACTAATATACAGGCTGGTATACAAAAGAGACATGTACCTCTCTTAGTTCCCTGATTTGTTCTGACAATCCACCAATTTCAGAATAAGATACATCGCCAGGATCTTCATGAGACATGTTGTAAACAAGTGGATCAACTTCTCTTGGCAAATATCTAAACATGTGAAGTAATTCCAGTTATCCGATCAGATGATTCTGCACCAGTGATTTTTTTTTTAAAGTAATTTCCAAATAGTATTTTTCCCACCCAATGAAGACAAATAAATTACTAAGTTCTATAATGGTCTCCCAGAAGTTTTGTTAACAAGCAAGATAAACACTGTAGCTTAAATGCTACTTGCACAAAAAGGAAGAATCCTAAGCAAAGCCTTTGGATTTGCCGTTTCCTCCTCCCCTTTCCTTCCTCTATAATGAAGAAAGCGTTGTTGCTTTCTATCTTTTTTATTTTTCTCAACTCCAATCTAAACATATGAAGGCAAGATTTTACCTCATAATCGTTAAGGTGGTCATATCCAATGCAACTCTTGTCCCAGGTTTCAATTTGCTTTTATCAAGCTGAAGGCAAAAAAGGCAATTATTAAATTTACTACAGTATTATGTCAAACATGTATTCAACCAAGAAATATTCACTTTGTATTAACTATACTATTTTGGGGTCCAGGAGGGAGGACCCAAAAATACATTCGAAGGAGTATGTATGATAATAAAAGCACAACAAAGCCCATTCAAATAATAGCAAACAACAAAGTTGAAAATGTGCTGCTCCTAGAAGGATTACTCTTTTTCCACAACAGGTGGATGAAGGCTGGACAATTTTCACACATCCAGTCTATGCCTGCAAAAATAAATTAGGCACTGAGAGTTGCTTAGGTAGGACACCAAGCCACGACTTAGTGGCTGTAACTTTAAAGTTTATTTGAGAAACCAACTCATAAACAAGATCTAGGTAGTCCTCAGTTTACAACCCTATTTAGAATCAGCAACTCTACCACTAAGCAAAGCAGTCGCTAAATGGGAAATCATGCAACCACAATTGTATTTTTCAAATGGAAAGAGACAGGACTAGTCAGTTTCACACTTTTAGCTTTTGTTTGCTTTCTAACCACTTCCCCACTCCTTGGAATATTGGAGCCTCTGCTTACTATCTTGTACACCTTGAAAGCAATGCAATCATGCTAGCAGCCCAAAGTTGGGAGCCATAGGTGTGATACACAAACATCTCTTAATAGTGCTCGCCAGGAAGTGGTACGGCCGATTGTCCCAACCAAACAGTTGGCAGCTCCAGTGGTTACCAGAACCCAAAAGAAGAAGGAGGAGGTGGATTTATCAAACGATTTGACTGCACAATTAAGAGATGCTCTAAAACTTGATGACTGGTTCCTTGCTCACTCAAATAACTGTACGGTTAAAGATGGGTAGCATGGGTGGGAGCCAAATTATATGTGCCAGAGAAACTGAGGAGCCAAATATTACAGCAAGCTCATGATTCTAAAGCGGCTGGTCATTTTGGATTCGTGAAAACCTTACACTTGGTTAAACAGCAATTTTGGTGGCCTACTTTGAAGGACATTGAAACTTATGTAGCTGGTTGTTCTATCTGTGCCTCAGCCAAACGGCTCCCTGGTAAGCCAGCAGGCTTGCTACAAAATGTGGCTAGAGCAACGGCTCCATGGAAGGAAATCTCTATGGAATTTATAGTGGAATTACCTGAAAGTGGGGGAAACACAGTTATTTGGGTGGTAACTGATTTGTTTTCCAAACAGGTACATTTCATACCTTGTTCGAAGATCCCATCTGCAAAATGTTGGCTAAACTGTTTATTTCACATATCTACATGTTACATGGGGTTCCTGAACGCATAATCTCAGACAGGGGTGTCCAATTCACCTCGAACTTTTGGAAGGAGTTCCTGAAGTTATTGGGCTCCGCCCAGGGCTTAAGCTCCGCCCACCATCCACAAACTAATGGGGCTTGTGAGAGAACTAACGCGGTATTGGAACAATATCTTAGATGTTACATAAATTATCAGCAAGATAATTGGGCTGACCTATTACCATTTGCGGAGGTGGCATATAATAATTCCGTACATAGTAGTACTGGGTTTACTTCGTTACATACTTCCAATTTGAGACCGACCCAGATTGATCCTCCTGTACCATTGCTAATTGAAAGCGAACAACATTTTGAAGTTAAAGAAATTTTGGATTCTCGGAAACAGAGGGGTTGACTCCAATATTTGGTTGCTTGGAAACATTTTCCTTCTTCCCAAGCTGAGTGGGTCGATGAAAAGGATGTTAAGAGCTCCTACACTTGTCAAAGCATTTCGTACTAAATATCCTGATAAACCCTAAAAATATGAGTATTTTAATGTTACCTGTTTATTGACTATTACCTTCCACGTTTTCTTCTTTTATAGGACTAACGTCTTTTTTCTAGGAGGGCCGAATGTCAGCCTTCAAGATTTTCTCCCTTTGCTTTGCATCTTTCGGCTGTCATAAGTAACGGGGGGAGGAGGGGGGAAAATCATGGGAAGTGAGCTGGAGGTGTTACAAACAGAACTGTATAAACTGGGGGGGCGGGAGGGGAATACATTCTTGCTTAGGTTTCTATTTCTTGCTTAGCTTTCTCTTCTATGCTATGCGCAGCTGCAAACCTTTATCGAAGTATGCCAAGGTCAATGGACAGAAGCCTCACCAACTGGAGATGTCCACATGATGATATTCACAACTTTTAATTGGAAGAACCATTTGAACTATTGGGGGTGGGAACATTGCCATTACTTTGTATATGTGATTTACGCACCCATTTTCTTGGATTCAGAATTCTTTTGTTGCTACCACTTGATTTCCAGTAAAAGATATATTTTCTCTAATTAAAAGAGTCTAAACATTTCTTTCTTGGATTTTGAATGGAGCACCAGCTGACACTTACTCTCTTGAAATCCCTCACCAATCTGTCTGCTTTGAGTGACTTAGAGAGGAAGAGTCACGCAAAGGGGAAACTGACTTTAGAAATCATTTACTTGCTTTCTCCTCTCTCACCCTCCTAAGAAAGAGGAGAAAAGGATTTCAAGAAAGAAAGCTGTTTGGTTTTTCAAAAATAATGTGATCACGCCAGCTATGGAAAAAGGTCAAACAAAGGAAAATCCTACAGAATTGTATTTTTTTTCTCTATTCCCCACCCCCACCCCCACCAGAGCAGAGAGATTGGGGAAAGAGATTTCAAGAGAGTACGATTCACATAGCATGCACCTATGGCTCCCAGCTCGATTCCCAGCCCGACTGCATTGTTTTGAATGTATAGACAAGCAAAGCTTGCTTTCTTGTAATCCCTATCTCCAATCTCTCTGCTCTGCCAGAGGGGGGAAAATATAGTTCAAGCACAGGACTGATTGTAATGATGATCATGTAACTAAGGACACTATGATGATCAAGTGGGTTGTAAAGTTATTTTGTTAGCACAAGTTAGTTGTAACTTTGAATAGTCTCTGAAGAAATTTTTAGTTAGTAACTACTTGTACTCACCTGACGACGACAGCCAACTACATATCTTGGTCCATTTGTTGCTTTGACAATGACTAGGAGTAGCAAAGGAAACCAGGTGAGAGCATGTTATTCAACCATGATTTGAATAAAAAAAAATCCCAACCAATTTTTTAAAAATAACAGTTATGTGCAATTATAATTATGCTACTCTATTTCAAATCCAATTTTTTTTTAATTTTGATATAATAAAGAAAAGTAATAAAATAGTATCCCCATGTACTTACATTTCTCTTCTGTTAATTGTTTAAGAACCTCACCAACAATCTGTTTTTAAAGGAAATGGAAAAATACACTGTTACCATTATCTCCCTGCTGTCTGAATTTCTGAAATGGATAAGATCACTTGGTCTTGATATGAAGTCTGGATGCCATTAGTGACTATCATACACAATTAGGACTACTATTCAAACAGAATGAGATGGCTGCTTCAAGCAGCAGCTCTCAGCATTGTGAAAAGGCAAAAAAATATTAAGTCCAAACAGGATATCATTTATTGCTCGATTTAAGGCAATAACATTTCTGGAGAATGCATGAGTACTTCAGATCTCCCATGAACAGCTAAGGAGTCCTCCCTGAACTCTGGGAGGTACTCATTAAAAACACACAATGTTGACTTGTTCCTCGACACAGAGCCAATCACAATTCTCAGAAAATTTGCTTTCTTACAGCAGTCCCCAACTTTTGTGGCTCATCAGCCTGGCTTGGGGGAGGGGAGAGTTGGGAACTAGGCTGTATGAGTAGCAGGCCAGAGCACATATGCACACATCTCAACTTGTGCAAGTTGAGCTGTGTGCATGCACGCAAGCATACTGCTACTGTGGCCCTGTTCTGAATAGGCCACGGCCCGGTAGTGGGCCACAGCCCAGGGGGTCAGGAACCCCTGGATTAAACAACAGTTTATTCACTGAACATTGTGACTGCATGAGCACTCACCTGTCCAACACTTTGTAGAGCTTTGAGGTCATTTTCTGATTTTTCATACTGCTTGGTAAGTTCCTTCAGTTGTTCCCTTACTAAGAAAGAAGAACAGAGTTTTCAGGTAAAATTCATACAATGTGTGCTAATAGTCTATACTGTCTGTTCTTCCATTTCAATCCTTAGAGAGAGAAAATTAAGATGCAAAATTTTATTGTGGACCATTGTATATAGCTTATTAAAAGTGTCTTCCTTATGTTTCTTCCTATTCTATATTTATTGTATACAATAGACAAGTGGTACATTCAGGGTTAGGGTTACTCTTATCCTTACCAGGAAGCAGAAAGTAGTATTTTTCTCAAATTCATTTGTTTTAAACCCATTTTAAAGCAACTGTTTAACTCACACCTGGAGATACTTAAAGAGGGGAGAATTAAGAATGAAGGGATAAAATTCTTTTTATTCCCTGTATTCCCTATGCAGAATTCATTTTTGTGTCAATAGATATGTCATGTCTTTAGTAGGAGATTGCTGCGTAGGCATTGGGAATTCAGCAGCATACAAACTGTAATCAATAAATTAAATTTAAAAGTTTAACATTTTCTAGACAACTGAAGAAGAGACAAAGGAATTGGCTCTCCCATGTTTGACTCTAATAAACGTATAAGAGTTTGTTGAAGAGGTAAAAGAGTAGGAACCACAGAAGGCAGTAGCTATGGAATCTTAAGTTCATACTGCAGAATAAACATTGAGGGTATACTCATACATAGATGCTAGATTTCAGGAATCTTATTAGAAATAGAAATTAAATAGAGTATTTTTGGAAAATAATTTTTATTTTCAACAAGCTTTGAAAGATACTACTGGGTGAGATCCCATGGAAAACGTTCCTCTGATCAAAGGGAGCACAAAAGAGTTAACAATTTCTCAAAAATAAAATACTGAAAGTACCACTGGATACCACTTCAATGAGAAGGAAAAAATAGGAAGCAGCTTAGGAAACTGCTTGGAAGGATCCACTAGCCAAAGAACCACTGCTGGAAATGGAAGATCACCAAGGTGGTATATCAGCAAGTAAGTATTATCTTTTTTGGGGGGGGGGGTGGGGGGGGGGGACGACAAAAAAAGCTAAAAAGAATTTAGATTCACAAGAGAAGTTGAAAGCAACAAAAAGGGCTCTTTTTTGCTGTATCAATAGTAAAATAAACAAAAGAGAAGGAGTAGGAGAAAATAGTAAAAACAAATGACAAGAAGATAGCAGAACTCCTCAACTTCTAGTTTACTTGTTTTCTCCTCATAAAAACCTAGGGAGAATAACCAGTCGAAGGGAAAATGACTCAAGGTCAGTTAAGGGATATTTAAGGAACAGTTGCATGCTGTAACTGAATTTAAAATATCTTTCAAATATCTGAAGGATCACGTAAAAAGGCAGAATTGTTCATTTGTTTCAGAAAACAGAGATTGGATAATTGAATGATAATACTCAATTCCAGTACTGGACAAAGTGGGACAAAATGGTCTCCACTGTACCTTCTAATTCTTACATTCTGTAATTGTGAATGATTCTATGTTTCAGACCAACTATCTCATTTTCTCAAATTTTGCCACATCTCAACTTTCTTCTATATAACAGGCATGTGGGACTAGGTTGCTGCAGGTAGGTAAGGAGACCTACTGGCACCTGCTACAAATCCGCTCCTCTCAGTCTATGTTTTCTTCTGGACAGCAAGCAAATGCTTAATATATAATTTTAGATATTGGCATTGGTTTTTAAAAATTTATTTGGCTTTATTTTGGTGGGAGGTTTCTATTTTTCATTCTGTTTAGTTTCTTTTCGCTCATAAACTGTAGCTCATTGACTGTCTTTAGTATTTCATTGCTTATTTACCTTTTGTACTGTATTTTGTTTATTTTTGTAATCTTTGTTAGCATTTTTCAAAGCAGTTGTCTGAGTCTATTGCATATTACATGTAAATCTGGAGGAAATGTGTGCAGAATATGGAAGTCAAAGGAACAAGGTAATTTGCTTTTGTTCCACACATTCCACAGAGTTATCCCTGTTTTTTCCTTTTTATCTTTCTTATTTCTCAGTTATGTTCCTTTAAGATTAATGAAACAAAACTAGACCCTTGTTTTTGATTTTTTTTAAATAAACCTGTTACAGCTGGGTTAACATATTACATATCACATATTACAAATGCAGGGTTTAATAATGGTTTGTTGAATAAACCAAAATTTTCTGGATTCATAAGTCTATTAAACTATGAACCATGATTTTCAAACTATTATGATTGCACAATACACTACACTAAAACCCAACCGATATTTCTCATCTGTATGAATTTTGTGTTGAAATCAGATTTAAATTCATTCTCAGCCATGGAAGTTCACAAAACCTGTCATCTTAAGTCATCTTAGCCTTCTTCACGGGATTGCTATTATTGGGAAAGAAATGGAAGAAAGAACTAATGTGGGCATCAGAAGGCAGGGCATAAATGCCACGATTACAATGAAATTATTTTATCAAATTTAGAACAGCCCAACTCACAGGGCGATTCCAATGTGCCCTCCCAATCTGAGGGTCCATTGCACTGACCTCAGTGAGCAAATCTCCCTAAGGAAACATGCACAGGATCTGAGTGGGGGGGAAATCATCTGAATATCATATGGTAAAATATAGGCTTTTCACTCCAACGCGTCTTCCCCACCCTGTTTGACATGAGATTATTATTATTAATAAATCTGGTTCTTTCGGGATCCCGAGAGAGGGATGAAATCAGGGAGAAGCACAGAGACCAGGCTTCCTTCTCCGTCACCGAGCAGCCACTCACGCTCCTTGAGGCGCCCATCGATCTCCTTGTGCTCCAGCAATTTCTTGCGATAGTCTTGCAGCGCCTTGTCTCGCGGCTCCGCCATGATGATAAGACGAAAGCCGAGCTATGCCGGCGGTAATGCGCAAAGGACGTCGGGAATTACGGCCCAGGCAGGAGAAGTAGCTTCCTTTTAGGACTTCCTCTTCCCGTATGCTGCAATTGCTGCTTCTGCCAGAGCGCCCCCTGCTGACTTGGAGGGGAACCGTTTACGAAAAGAAAAAGGAAAACGACATGTACACACCTTGAGCGTGATAGACATAGCTAGCCAGTGTTCATGTAATGCGATACCGATAAATGATTTAGATTTGAGACGGTTCACTATCATTGGGGAAAATGTAGGAAACTGATATAGATATCTAGGCCAAATGTATAAATAATTCTCCATTCGTTATTCCTGGTGTATAAAGAATTCCTCTATTCTATTCTATTCTATTCTATTCTATTCTATTCTGTAAGGCATTCCTGGGCTAACAACCTGCCTTCCATTGAGGACCTGTATATCACACTGTTAAAAAGAGGGCTGTGAAAATATCTACAGACCCCTCACATCCTGGACATAACTTGTTTCAACTTCTACCCTCAAAACAACCTCATAGGGCATTGCATACCAGAACAACTACACACAAGGGCCGTTTTCCCCCATGCCATCACTCTGTTAAACAACTAATTCCACAACACTGTCAAACTATTTAGTAAGGCTGTATTACTGTTATTCTTCTCATCTTTCCTATTGCCTATCTCCTTTTCTACTTATGACTATAATTTTGTTGCTTGTATCTTAACAATTTATATTGTTATTTAGTTTCCTCATATGATTTATCTATGTTGATTGTTTATTTGGTATTCTATGACTATCACTAAGTGTTGTATCTTATTATTTATGATGAATGCATTTTTATGATGACCATGATCATAATTTATCACATATAGCTTTTATGTACACCGAGACCTTATACAGTGATACACCAAAGACAAATTTCTTGTGTGTCCAATCACATTTGGCCAATAAAAAATTCTATTCTACTCCAAGCTACTCTACTCTAATCTAATTATGTTTTTGCAAATTCAGAGGGCTATACACCATGATAGTATTGATGGAGAATGTATGGTTTTATTATCAATCTCATTTTACAAAAGAAAACCCTCTGAATATTGTTTATATTTATTGTCCCATTACTTTCCAAATTATTGGCATATAATACAAAACAATAGATGACTGCAACAAGGCAGAAGTAAGATATTCCAGAACAAAATCAATAAGTAAATTGAATTCCGCCCCCAAAGGAACCATTATGGCGCTTATCCTCACTTGCATTTTGAGTGCCATATCTAACCTAAAGCTGAAACCATTCATTTTTAAAAAATAAAATATGCATAGTTGCTCAAGATGCAAAACAAATCATCAAACTGAGTGTTGAATTAATTGTAACTTTATAAAATAACATTGATTTTTGATTCATCATGCATGTGGGTATTAACTCTTAGCCCTCTGTTCCCATTCTGGTTTTCAGATGTTGTAATGTATCCATTGCTAATGTATATGAGCCCATCTACCTTGCTATTTATTCTTGTCTTTTCTTTCATTTCATGCTATTTATTCTTGTCTTTTCTTTCATTTCTTTCAAGACAACTAGCTAGAATTAAAGTTTCCACAATGTGATTTTATGAGCCTCATTATATATGCCTCTAGTGAGAACTCAGGATTGATTGATTCTGTGAACTGTCAGTCATTGTCTATTGATCTGGTCTTTGTAAAATGCAGGAGTTGTTTATTTTGGTTTCATACCTGCATAGTATGAAATAATGCCTTTGCCATTGTCACTAAAATAATCATCCCCTCTCTGCATCTTCCTACACTGCTGCACTCCAAAATAAATGACAGCTTGCTTTAGCTTGGATCATGGGATATCAAACTCGCGGCATCATGTTGCTGTCACATGACATATTGCGACTTTTTTTTCCCCTTCAAGGAGCTGGGGTGAACGTGGCCTGTGTGTGATGAATCTGTCCCACAGACAGCCAGTTTGACACCCCCGGCTTGGATGGTATTCATGCCAGTGGTAGGATTCAAAAATTTATCCTACCGGTTCTGTGGGCATGGCTTGGTGGGCGTGGCAGGGGAAGGCTACTGCAAAATCCCATTCCCTCCCCACCCCACTAACCTGCTTTCCAGCTCCATTCTCCTGTGCAGGGCAACAAAAGACCCAGCCGATAGCTGGGACTCGGGAGGCAGAGAATAGATTGGCAGGGCCAATCACAGGTAATATTTGCCGGTTCTCTGAACTACTCAAAATTTCCTCTACCGGTTCTCCAGGACTGGTCAGAACCTATTGAATACCACCTCTGATTCATGCCTGGTGTGTTCCTGCTGAAATTATATACTCTTAGTATGCACACCTGTTGTTCACCACTCATCCCTCCCAAGAACACCATCATAAGCTGTCCAAAATTGACATGGATGGCATATAAATTTAATAAATAAATAAATAAAATGATGAGGCAGCATAATAGGACTTGAGAAGGCCAAAATAACATACATGCCAAAGTGGTTTTCATCAGCCTTTATATACTGAACATTCCAATTACTTCTCCTTCCACGAAGGAGGCTATCCAGAGTGATAGCAAGTACCTTTTTTTATTAACAAGGTTAAACATACCCCAGATCCTTCCATCCAAGGATTCTGTACTCTCTCAAAAGCAACTCAATCCTTGGTGCTCTTTGAGCTTGGTTGCTTTCTTGCAGACTTTTCATTGCCCAAACTAAGTAACATCATTTCAACCTTGAGCTTCAAATATTATCCTTTATTGGCAATTCAGTCCTCTGAGTTAACAGAATTCTGCAGCTAATCCAATCTACTCCCAGCTCAAATTTGCTGTAAGCTAAAAAAAAAACCCATTTAGTAGGTGAAAATGTGTAGAGTTTGTGGACAGCCCATTTCACCATTGGAGGGAATTCTTACTCTTCTCTTGTCTTACTCATCCTTGTCATTCCTGAGCTTTAGCTGATTTGACAGCTCCTCTAATCAAGCAAGGCATTAGAGGCTGCTTAGTACATTTCTATCTGATCTTGAAAAGCTAAGTTGAATGGGACCATTTATTTGGATGGGGGCCACTAAGACAGGGGTCCCCAACCACCGGTCCCCGGACCGGTACCAGTCCGGGGAACAATTTCTACCGGGCTGCTGGTTTGCTGGGTGCCGCCATCTTGTTTTGATGAAAAAGTGCTTCCGGTGAGCTTTTCCGGGTAGAAAGCGGCGTTTGGGTGCTGAAAGAATCCTCGCGCCTTAGTTTCATCAGGGGGGGTGGTGGCTTCGAACAAAACTAAGGCACGAGGATTCTTTCAGCACGCATGGCAAGGCGAGCCGAGCGACCATCCCGAAGCCGTCCCGAAGCCCATCGACACAGGTACAAAGGAGGAGTTGAAGGTGGCGGGGAGAAGCGGGGGATGGCTGGCCGGCCGGTCGCTTGGCTCGCCTTGCCATGTGTGCTGATGCTGGTACCGGGCCGCGGTTGATTTTGTGATGCCAGTACCGGGCCGCGGCACAAAAAAGGTTGGGGACCACTGCACTAAGAAATCCCACTTGAGTATTAAAAACAAACAAACAAAAACAATCCATGAAAGTGGCAATGGCAATTTACTGCTATAACACTTCCAGAACAACTACATGAATTAAGTTATTAATTTTTTAAGTCATTAGGAACTGAGCTCAGATTGGGTTTACCTCCTAATGAGTTGCCTTACCCTTACCTTATTTTTCTACAGGCTTCTCTTTTTGAGAAAGTAGAAGGAAAGTACGGATTGCCTTGTGTCATTTGAGGTCAGCAGAATTCAAGACAATTTAGCAAGTCTACTTTCAGATTTAAAGGACTGAGAGAAGAAGGAACTAGAAAGAATATTAAGTGGAAGTGCCCCAAATGTAATGCTAATAATAAATTGAAACAATAGATTTTCCTCTTCCATCTAAAATAAATGGCAAAGTCAGTGCAACTCCTGGGCATTAGTTCAAAGTAGATCCTACAAAATCTAGTTTAAAATTGACACTAAGACTGCCTGTGCCCCATTTCCACCAAGTAGCAGCAAAATCTGCAGAGTAAGTATTGGATAAAATAGGTGGAACTTAAAAAAAACCTCTGCTGTTGTTTTACATGTCACTAATTCTTATTTACAGAAAATTTGAATGCAATATGAAAGTATATGCATTTGGGTAGAGGCCAAATATTTGTTCAGTGGCTACTACAGCAGTATTTTTGTTGAACTCCAAGAAGTATTTCTGAAACCACCATTGCATTCCAAACACACATGATACAAGAGTCACAGGAAGCTTCATAGAGGTGTGTCCCAAATCATTCAGCTTAGGAGTTTGATGGGGATGTTACACAGAGCAGTAGATATTGGTCTGTATACACCCCTGCAGTCTTTTGGGTATGACCCAACAGCACTATTATTAAAATGTTTACAGCCAGTTATTCAGCTTTCTCCCTAGCATGTGTGTGAGGCAGCTGAAATCATAAATATGATTAAACTAATAACATCATGGAGGACCAGACAAATAAAATAACAAAAATCAAACAAGGCAGAGGGATAACTCATGAAGGCTGTTAGCTTGGTGGAATAAGAAAATCTTTAACAGGATATTTAAATGAATGAAAAACCAACTGGATTTGAGATTTTTGAAGTCTGCTCTGCAATGTTTATGCTCCCGTAACACACTGAATCATTGACTAGATGAGCCTATTTTACAATAATATGCTCTGCAAACCCAGATTGTGTGCTAGTTTAGAGTTCAATTTTATCATGGAAAGCCAGAAAATTGGGTGGAGTATAATAGAATTACAATACATTAATAATGAGTGTATTGTGCACCTCATTTAGGGTGTTGCAATAATTAAGGTATTATACTGTGCACCACAGTCAGGTCCACCTATCTAAGCACAGGTAGATGCACAAAACACTCCCCATTGCACCCTTCATTTCAACATCTAGGATTTTACATAATGAGTCCTGAAACAAGAAAACAAAACATCCTGGGCCAAAATGGATTAAACACCTATCCTTAGATCAACATCCGTTTGACCAAGAGCAACTAAGGGAAACTAACCAAGGAGAGAAGCAACCTAGAACAAAGGAGAAATTTCCTGACAGTTAGAATAATTAATAAGTGGAACGACTTGCCACTGGAAGTTGTGGGTGCTCCGACACTGGAGGTTTTTAAGAAGAGATTGGGCAACCATTTATCTGATATGGTATAGGGTTTCCTACTTGAGCAGGGGGCTGGACTAGAAGACCTCCAAGGTCCCTTCCAACTCTGTTATTCTGTTTCTGTTCAGAGCATTTTCATCTGATTTCAAGTAGTAAAGAACTGGCATATTGTCTGTGTGTTCGTTTGTATGTTAGAGTAAAATATTTATAATTCAGAGTATTCATATTTTGGATGCCATGGAATTATGTCCTCTTAACATGTAATATAATTATATGGAAAGAAATTAAGAGAAGAACATGTCAGAATAGCTTAGCTATGTATTCACTTATTAACTTTATTTAATCATAAATAGCCATGCTAACCAATAGATCATTCCTCAGTTTGTTAATGTACTGTCACTATTGTCATTATGTAATGCCAATCATTATACGGCGTTATAGCATAGCAATAATGTATATTTTTATACTATATACTGTATTTTAGGTAGAGGGATGGATGGATGGATGGATGTTGCATGAAAATGAATTAGAAGAGACTCATTTAAAGCAAACCATAAAGAGGATTTGCTCAGGAAGATGTCAGGTTACATGGTCCACTGACAACCACTAGAACAAAATCTTCAAAGGAAACATAACAAGTTATGGTTCTTCAAAGAAATATACTTCCCAAAACAATGACTATTTTCCATGTGAAGAGATAGAAGAAATGGCATTCTCGTGAAAAAATACCAGATGAGAAAGGCTCAAGGCAGAACTGGACAGACTTTGATGAACTTAAACCTTGTTATAAAAATGTATGGGAACCACAGAGAATGGCACAGCAGTCATCCCACCATGATTTTTCTGAAACTCAGCCTTGGCCTGACAGGCAGACTTTGAACTGGGTGGCCTAGCAGTTAAGATACTGGGCTTGTTGTCTAGAGGCAGGGGTGGGAATCAAATTTTTAACAACCGGTTCTGTAGGTGTGGCTTAGGTGATGGGCGTGTGACTGGGTGGACATGGCTTGGTAGTCATGTTATTGGCTGGGTGTGGCCAACTCAACATCACTCACATCTCCTCGCCTGGTCTCTCATGACTGCGGAGATGCTGCAACAGTCATAAGTGTGAAAAATGGTCATAAGTCACTTTTTTCAGTGCCATTGTAACTTTGAATGGTCACTCCACACAAGCAAAGTACCAGCAAAGGAGGGGAAAAAAACTCCAGAGATGTTCCTGAGAGAGGAAGTCTAGTCCTGCCAAGAATGTAATAAGAGTTAACGGAGAGGCAGTTTCTGTAAGCAACACCAGAATGTTTCCTTCCTGCCTTCCTTACAGGATTAGGCCAGTAATTTCTTCTAACAACCGGTTCTCCGAACTGCTTAGAATGTTAACAACCGGTTCTAGCGAATAGGTGCAAACTGGTAGAATCCCACCCCTGCCTAGAGGGTTGGCAGTTTGAGACCCAAGTACCATGTGATGAGGTTAACTCCTGTTACTTGTCCCAGCTCCTGCCAACCTAGCAGTTCAAAAGCATCTAAATGCAAGTAGATAAATAGGTACCACTTCTGTGGGAAGATAAGAGCTTTCTGTGTGCTTCGGTGTATAGCTCATGCCAGCCACATGACCACAGAAGCATCTTTGGATAATGCTGGCTCCCTTGACAATTAGAGAAACCTTTGTCTTTTTTTTTTTAGATATGCACAAGACTTTACATGTAGTTTTCAATTCAGAAGTGAAGAAGGCAAGCAACCAAACTTGCATTTGTTTTTATGTGACCTGAACCTGGATAGAAAAAGGACAATAGTATTGGAGGTGTAATAAAGACCCCATATGACTCTTAGTGTGGTAGTATGGGCAAATGGAGGCCTACTTACATCATGTCCATTTACCAGAAGGCAAATTATTGAGGGTAACATCCACCAGCCCTTCAAAAATTTAAAGATCACACATTAAAACTAAGAATGTGAAGATTTGAGATGAATAAAAGAAAATACTATGGACCAGACGCATGGTTAAACAAGTGAATTTATTATCAGATATGCACGATGGCCCCTTTGATATTTTTGCTTTATATATGTTTAAACCTTTTTTGCATTTTGCATTTCTGTACACTTGCTATTAATTTCTCCTTCCTCAGAGAGGAAGCATATTGGAGGTGGGTTGGGAGTGGATAGCAACTGGCCTAAGGTCAGCCAGCTGGCTTTGTGCCTTAACCACTGCACCAAACTGGCCCTTAAGTGAATGTGCAAATATGAAGAATGTGTAGAACTTTGAAATATTTGCTTTCTTCCTGTCCTTCAGAATTAATTGGCTCAATAAAACCTATAATCTTCCCTATAATCTTTTCAATATAGCTTGATTCTCAAACCTCAATAATGTTCCCTCACTCAAGTTTATTAGTATATTTTTCCAATTCCAACAGATACACGAGCAAGATGCAACTCAAAGTCAAACTGAATTAGAAGCAACCTGGAGAGCCATTTCTCCTTCCCACTGAGGTATTGTCCTCTTGAATTGTTATACCATCCTCTGTGGTTTTAATGTTTATAGTTCACTATAACTTTATATTTTTTTTTCTTCAACTTAGTCCATTTCCAAACATTTTATATTACAATCAATTTTCATTCCCAATATTCATTACAGAGACACCTAAAATCACAGTTATTTTCTCTTTGTCAGTGATGAAATTTTGAATTTGCTGCAGTCAAAAAATACTACGTTTTTTGGTGATTTGTATGGTGTTGAAATATTTCCTTTATTTTTGCTCCCAAAACTTTTATGGAAATGAATATTATGGAGCAGTTTCTTACGTTACCACCTAAAACAATGTTGATTCACACATTCCAATATTGTAGTTTGGGGTGTGGCCAACCATCAAGTGTGCATCCACCTGATGATATTTCTTAGTTACGTACATTTTTCCATGTATTAACACCAGTTTGCTTTAGGGAACCAAGTCATACATTATACTGTTCTCCTGTTGATCAGATACATCCAGATACATCAGCATGATGCCCCACCCATACTACATACAGTAACAGCTGACACACACTAATAGTGTTTACCCAGCATGTACACCTAGATATCACAACAAATATGGAGTTTCCTATTCAGATCCTAGACATCATAACTTAGAACACAGGCCAAACTGCATGTACTTTATGTATTGTCATACCTTGATTCTCGACTCTTGACAAATGTATCTTTCTTTTATGTATACTGAGGGTATTTACAGCAAGACAAATTCCTTGTGTGTCCAATCACACTGGGCCAATAAAGTATTCTATTCTATTCTATTTTAAATAGGGGGAAATCTACCCTGAAACATATCCCAGAAAACTGATTCTGGATTTATCTGATAGCTTGACTTTCAACAAAACACAACAAAAATCCTGTATTAGTAGTTTTATTAAATTCTTAATAGCAATGGCTGCTTTTCAGACACTGCACAAATCAAACATCCATGTTGGTATGTCAACCCTGGAGCAATTTCTATTTCCCCATCTGATCTCTCCCATAGAAGTGTTACAAGAAACAGTGTAAAAGCATTATGGTCTAGAGACTCTAGTGGCTAAGGCACCAGGCTAGAAATCAGGAAATTGTGAGTTCTATTCCCACTTCAGGCTTGAATGGTAGCTGGGTGACCTTGGGCCAATCAATCTCCCTCAGCCCAATTCATCTCCCAGGGTGGTTGTTATGGGGATAACAGGAAGAGGAAGACGTATTAGATATATTCACTGTTTTTTAGTTATTTATAAAAGTAATAAAGGCAGGATAAATGTCTGGAGTTTCTCAGTCATCCAGGTCATGGTGCTTTTTCAAAAGGCAAGTGGACTTTGGTTTTTCTTTGAAGACATTTCACTTCTCATCCAAAAAGCTTCTTCAGCTCTGAGAATTTCCTGCCTTTGGAACAAAAGACAGATTTAAAAAAAATCAAAATCATAAATAAAAATCAATGATCTGAAAGTCTTAAAATCTCAGACTTTCTGTAGGTAGTTCTCCTATGTCTTCTGCAAAGTAACTCACCTAGAACCCACCTTGGCGTACTTTCTGTGCAGGGCAGGCTAACATAAGAATTTGAGGCAAGGGTGGGCGGTGATATTTAAAGGGTATAAAAGAGCACCTGTAACTTCTGTTGCAGAAGCTGTTTCTATTAAGGTGGAGAATATATTGCGGGTATTAGAACCTATTTGTAATCTGTCCTTTAATTATTTTTTTCGTTGCTGCTTCCTCTTATACTTTACTTCAGCCTTCATGTCAATTGTTCACTATTTTAGTGTTTGTTTCCAGTGAAAATCTTATTTTATGTTATTTGTTAACCTGATTAAGATTTGGGAGGGTTGGGGTTTTTCCAAGATTTGAAACATCTGGAAAGTTTTCCTTTTCGAAAAGGAAATAAATCTTAGGCAGGCAGCCACCTAATCAGGAACTAAACAGATCTGAGGTGTGTCTCAAAGATGCTTTTTCTAATCGGTCTGTGTTTTTCCTGAGGGGGAAAAAGGTTGCCCTTTGAAGCACCTTTGAGACTACTATGACCTGGATGACTGAGAATCTCTGCACACATCTAAGGTGTGTGTTTGCCCTGAGGACAAGACCGTCCCAACCTCGCCCGCCAGTCCCCGCGTGAAAAAAAAAAAACACGAAGGCGCAGCAGAAAGAGATGCCACCGCGGGTCAAAGGCTTTTCTTCACGCCGATCTGCACGTCCGGACCGATCCCCAGACAGCGGACTGGCGCGGTGAGCTCAGTACCTCGAGGAGGCCCTGAGGAGGGCAGGATGGGGCTGGCAGATCGGCGGACGGGGGTTCCCAGCAAGGCGAGGCCGAGCAAGGGACGAGGTTCTACTCCCAGCGGGCCCCTCCCAGCGCAGGACGGGCAAAGCTGCGACGCCTCCGGTTGTGTGCGGGCTGCGCCGCACGTCCCCTCGGTTGGAAAGATGACGCTCCTACAGGAGGAAGGCGGGAGGCGTGTCTGACCGGCGGAGCTGAAAATCTCTAGCCCAGGCTCGCTTTAAGCTGCGGCAGAGGCGACATGTCGCTCGTGCTTTCTCGCCGCCTGTGCCGGGCGCTGCTGCTCCTCCTTCTCGCTCTGCTCTCCAGAGGCGCTTCCGCCGAACCCCCGTCGGCGGAGCAGCGCTGCTTTTGTCAGGTGAGTCGAGCCGGCCGGCAGGTAAGCGGGCTGCCTCCTTCGCCCACCCTCTCAGCCCGGGGCACATCCGGTATATATATGTGCTGGGGAAGCCGCTCTACAGCACACGGGCTCGGGGAGATGTCTGAATGGGGGCGCGCGTCCTTCTTTGCGCCCCACCCCCGCCTCTGTAAAGAGAAGGATTCCTCCCCTGGAGATTTGGTGGGAGATTTGGTGGAAGAGTTGCAGGACTCTTAAGTGCCAGGACGGCGGGCCAGGTTCTCGGAGCTCTAGTCTTCGCTAGGTAGCCCCAAGGCGCAGGCTTGCTCTGTAATTAAGCCCGGGATTGTAAAAGTAAAAGGGCCATTAGCGCTACGGGAGCCCGGATCCTGCTGCCTTTCTGGATAAGTCGTTCCCACGGGCTATCTGGTTCCGCGAGGAGAAATTGTGGCCTTTGGTATAAGGCTCAAAGGATTAGGAGAAAGAGGCTTTGATGTTAAAAGGGATTAATTTATACGGCTATCCTAGCGTGCTGCAGCACCTTTATTGTACCTAAAATGATACTGTGATTGGCGGTTTCTTGGTGTTAGTTGAGGCTACATTCTTCAAAAGTTTGATGGATTCAAGCTCGACTCTCTTCTGTCTAAAACAAATTGTTGAAAGGAATTTGGACAGAGGAGCAGGCTCTTCTTTTACAGCATCCTTTCCCAGGATGGTACCTTCCAGATGTGTTGGAAACTGTTGGAAATTTTGCAGTTTGGGTTGGTCTTAACTACAGGGACCCAGATGCTTGGTTTGTTCCTTAGGATCTGTGGCTATCTTGGTAATTTGCTTTTTTAAAAAATCTTTTAAGAAATTCATCATAATGAACGGAAGGTTACTCTGTTGTAAAGCAAAGAAGCACCAACTTCAAACACTCCTATGTGGTATTTCTAATTATACCCTTAGGCTACACAAAAGAGTTGTAGCTGTATTTTATTTTCTGTTTGATATATGGGGATTTTGTGATTTGTCACATCCACTGTGATAGCCATTTGATGTGGAATTTCAACATGCTTTTGAAATTCAGTAGTCTAAAATGTTGGTGAACCCTGGCTTAACATATATAGCCATTGTAAATTATAAACTATATAAACCATAATATGTGTTAAACCCAGGGAACTCTGGATCTAGGAAGCAGTAATTTAGTGAGTTATTTGAACCAGGTCTGAGAATTTCAATCCCAAAATACTGAATCTGGAACTTTACATATCGCATAGCAGTAGATCCCATTGGATTTATTACAGCTTCTGAGTAAACATGCAGAACAAAACAACTAAAAATTGTTTCTAGTAATATGGCCCCTGGTTGTGTGGACCAATCTCTCATCTGAAACTAACTTGTCGCATCCTAGACCAACACTTGATAAAGATAAGAGCTCTTCCAAATAGTTTTTTGTATTGATTAGAAGATGCTGTCTGTGAGTGGGATGGGTGTTTTTAATGTGTTGTTTTATTATGATTTATTCCAATGGACAGTTTCACTTAACATGAGTTTAGTATGGATGATTCATTAATGGCACTGTATTATGTTGTGTAATTGGAGGAGTCATTATACAATATGGCAGTATACAAGAACAAGTTCCTGAATTGCAATCAGTCTGAAAGGGTCCTTTAACTTTCACAATAATTTTCTTAATCTACAAAATGAGGGCAGTGATTATATAGCCCAAGTTGTGTTAACTCTGATACATTGTAAGACCTATTTCTCTAAATTTAGTACATTGAGGATGCAGCCTTCATCAAATAAATAAATAAATATTCCAAGTTTTCTTGTGGCTTTCCAGAAACTCATTGCTGTTATTTCTGGGGGTGGGTTGTGCTAAGTATTCTGGAACTACTTAAAGATGGTCTATTTTTATTTTTTATTGCTAATTACCATGCCTATGATAAGAATAAATACCAGTAGAAAAAAAATGTTTGTAGCTCTGGGTTGAGCTGTGAGGTCCTTGATAATCTCTGAACTTGGTTTTCTTGCAGACGTTTCATTACCAAACTAGGTAACATCATCATTCACATGTTAAAACCATCCCTATAAAAGCTGGTCTCATCTGCTAGCACTGAAGATGTTACCTAGTTTGGTAATGAAATAACTGCAGGAAAACCACTGAGCTCAGGGGGCACCAAGGAATCCTGTAAGAATAAGTAACCTGATGATCTCCAGATATTTAGAAATTCCAATACCATTAATTCTAACCTTTATTTCTCATGTCTAGGGATGTAATTCAAAGAGGGCACCAGATTTTGCTGGTTTGTGTGCTGCTCCAGGTTGCCTCATTTTCATTAATAGGGATGTGTGTATTTGAGGTGACACACATGGTTGAGACCTGAATTAACTTTTTGAACTTTTTTTGAAGATATGTTCCAGTGAACATTATCACTTTTTTTGAGGCCTGTATTTACAGTTGTTTCATATACTGGGATTCATGCCATAGGCTAAGCTGTAATGTAGTCTTGTTCGTGGATTACTATTACATAAAGTCAGCCAATTATGATGTGTTCAGTATGTAACCCATGGTAAAGAAAATTATAGTTCATTGTGTCATACAAAGATAGCTGAGCTTGTTTAAGGCCAAATTGCATCCATCTCCAAATTGATGTAGTATGTTGGGTTGGAGTATTGGGCCACATGGAGAGCATTGTTCCAGAAAGGATGCTTTAAAGACAGAAACTTATTCCAGAATCACTCTGAATTAAGATTGCAGCGTTTACTCTAACCCTAACCTTCTTCACTGATCTTTCCTGAAATCAGCATTGCAAGAACAGCATATTCTCATTTTTTTGGGTTTTACAATCCCCTTCATTTGCCATGTTGATGTATTGGTTGTTTCAGGCAGAATATAATATAAATGAATTTTAAGAGGTGCATATTTATTTCAGAAGAAGCGATAAGGTACATTCATTCTTAAATTAATAGACATCCCTAATGACTAAGAATGAAAATTAGCTCGGTCAAATTCTCACTGAGCTTTATATTCAGTGCTTTCATCTAAAGGTATATTGCCCCCTATGTTTTTTTATCAAGGAAAAGTTTATTGCTAGAAGAGTAATTTTGTCTAGTGTGGTCTGAGCATTTTTTAAGTTAAAAATGCTCTCCCATCTTGTGGGATTGAATTCTAGAATATATACACAATATATAATGATTGTGCTTAGGGTGTATTTCTGTCTGGCCTTTATTAAATCCTTAATGGCTGGTTCCATTGGATGATGTGTTGTTGTTTTTTAGTTGAAAACATAGATGCATTTGCAAAGCTTGCCAGCCAAACCAATTCTCTTTGGATCATACAGGGATGTGAGACATTGCTACCAAATGTAGGAATTTGGCAACAAATTGTGTTAGCACTTCAGTGTCAGCTTTTAAATGTAACTAATAACTTCAATTGTACTAGACAGAAGTCAAATGGGTAGCTTGTAGGAATCTCTCTCTCTTTGCAACTTCCTTGTAAGGCCACATGCTATAAATCTCCTTTCCCCGGAAATTACTCTTTTCTGAGCTGTTTGTCAAAGTTTTGTCTCACATTTGGCCTCTGAAGCAAACAATCACATAGCTAAAACAGTAACTGAATACATTTGTTTTAAATGATAGATTACTGCATGGATCCCTTCTTCCTCCGTTAAGGCATAGATGATGATGATTAAATTAATTTAAGCCCTGTCATTTTTGTTTTAAAAATGCCCAAGTTATGAAAAGAATCAATAATGCACATAAAACAGGACAAATGCTTATCTTTCAACAAAATGAAATAGGTAACAATTTTATTGCTTGTCATTTTTAAAGTTTTTTTTTAAAGTTTTTAAAAAAGTTTTCACTGCCCACGAGAAAAATAGGGAACCAATGTTTTTCTTTGGGGTGACTCTTCCAACTTCTGCATGGTGTCAAACAGAAATAAATGTAATCTTGGATGGCTGAAGGAGGCTTCTGGACAGGACTGGAGATGTCATTCTGTTTTAGACTGAGGAGGTTTGGATGGAGAACAACAGGCTTCAACTGAATCTTGGTAGATGGTTATGGGTGCGGGATTCCTTTGTATCTGGGGGTTTACCAATTTTGGTATTGGATGGGGTTTCACTGCCCTAAATAAACCTGGTGTGTGTGTGTGTGTGTGTGTGTTCCTCCTAGCCTCAGAGTTCTTGCTCAAGAAGCAGGTAGCAATTGTAGTTAGGAGAGTGTTTCCTCAATTTTGTGTTGTGTACCAGTTGTGCCCTTTCCTGGATTATAAAGCTGTTTTCTTAGTCACTCATGTCCTGGTCATCTCAAGTATGGAGTATAATAATGTGCTGTACATGTGGCTACCTTGAAAAATACCCATAAGCTGCTAGGGGAGAATGTGGCTACGTGGGTAGTTCCCGGTGCCTCTAGGGGTGCATATGTACTGTAATATAATATTTCTGCTGTGTGACAGCATTGGATGACACTTTCTCCTCAAAAAGGAAGTCAAAAATAGGAGAAGGTAGAGTGAATGCCTCATCTTCCCTTCTAGTTTCAAGCACATTTGGACACATTGAGAGTACAATTTTCTTTCAAGCATAGAGATAATTTGGATCTCGGGCATTCAGAATTTTGTTTTTTACTAAATGCTGAGTAAATTGTTACAGGAATTATTTTGGTCTTTTAAAAATAACATCCTCTTTTTTTCTCATTAGGTCACCGGTCATTTAGACGACTGCACTTGTGATGTCGAGACTATTGATACCTTCAACAATTATAACCTTTTTCCCCAGTTACAAGAACTTCTGCAAAGTGATTATTTCAGATATTACAAGGTAGCTGTTTACTTTTCTTATGCATATAGGCCCATATTCATTGTGACATTCTCTTTTGGGGAAAAGCAATGTCCTACATAGTGGAGTAAGACACACTAGGCCAAAGAAATTAAAAACAAATAGTAAGAAAAAAGAGGTAAAACTTTTTATGCTTACAATAGCAATAGCACTTAGACATATACTGCTTTACAGTGCTTTGCAGCCCTCTCTAAGTTGTTTAGAGTCAGCATATTGCCTCCAACAATCTAGGTCCTCATTTTACCCACCTCGGAAGGACAGAAGGCTGAGTCTACCTTGAGCCTGGTGAGATTCGAACAGCCAAATTGTAGTCAGCCGACAGTCAGCAGAAGTAGCCTGCAGTACAGTATTCTAACCACTGTGCCACCATGGCTCTTATTACTTGCTATAACCATCATATTACTTCCATGCCCACTTACTAAGCTACCTCCTTTAAACCTATCATCTCTCTTGTTTGAGGATCTCACCAGCTCCATCCAACCAAAACCTTCTAAATCTTTCTGACTGAGAAAGTCTGGGAATTGAAGTCTTAAAATTGCCATGTTTGAAAAACACTGTTGTAAATGATGAACCTGCCTCACTTATCTTGTACTGATCACTTCTTTATTTTATCCACAGTCATTCTGCACCTATTTATTCTTAACCTTATCAAGGGGATCACAAATCTTCTCTTCTTACTTGACCAGAGTTGAATTAATTTCTAAGTTATCCACATATTTTCATGCTTATTTTACTTCTACTACATACAGTTGTTAACACATATTCCCACTAATTTTCAACTTCTCATTCAGACAAAACAGTTTGTAATTCAAGCTTATTTTTATTTATGTGATATGTTTTTTCTAAGTCCAAAAATGTACAAAATATTTCTTCAGATAAAACAATTGTATCTATTATATTTTTAATGTTCTCAGAGTATATTTAATTCATTTTATCATCTTTTTCCTTGAGGATGAACATTCTTTCAGGTATGATTCTTACCCTGAAATTAACCTCTGAATTACTCCTTCCAACATTCTCTCACTATCATTTCATTCCAAATTATTTCATCATTTTGATTTGTAAAAATAATTTTTATTCCACTACTATTACTCCATAAACATCCAAGATGTCCTAAATCTCTTACATTTCACATTGTTACAAGAGGCTGCCATGTTCTCTTTTCCCCTTCATTCATTTAGATTACAGGAATTTAACCTCTGTTTATTTTTCATACTCTTCAGAATCAACTATAAAATAGTTCAGCATTTTCTATTTTTTTTTAAAAATGCTTATTTTTTGAGAATGCTTATTGTACATATGTAGGTATGTTTACTTTTTTAAGGATTCAAATCTAAGACAAAGGTCTTAATATTACTTTTCAAATTCTTAAAAAGGTTATGAATAAAGAAGAAAAAAGTTGTTTATGTGGTATATACAGTTTGGTGAAAAGTAATGGTTTAAGGCACCAGGTTAAAATCCAGAAAACCAAAAAGTGACCAGTTTTAATTGTAATTCTAGTCCTGTCTTAGTCATGAAAACCAGCTGGGTGACTTTGGGCCAGTCACTTTCTCAAAGCCCAACTCTCCTCTCAGGGTTGTTGTGGGGAAAATAGGAGGAGAAAGAAGTTATTAGGTATGTTAGCCACCTTGAGTTATTCATCAAAATAATAGAGGTGAGAAGGGAATAATTAAAAATATGCTTTAATGGGTTGCCAAAAATATATTACATTTAATTCCAACAGCTACTACTACACAATTCAGCCCATTTTTCAGTTTCATGACTTAGCCTTGGTTAAAATATGTAGTGTTTTGTTTATTTAGAATCATAGAAGACAGTACAGAACAGGGTTGTCAAACTTGATTTCATTGAGGGACACATCAGGGTTGTATTTGACCTGTGGGGCTGTGTGGGTGGGACCAGGGTGGGCGGGGCCAGCTTGATGTCAATCCTGCAGCTCTTTGCCAGTGAAAACAGAGCTGGGGCAGCGTGCGTGGCTCCTCCACGCTCCGTTTTCAGCTGCAATTGCCTCCTACAGCCCTCTGCCAGTGAAAATGGAGCTGTCCACCCCAGCTCCGTTTTCACTGGCAGAGGGCTGTAGGAGGCTGTTGCAGCTGAAAACAGAGTCTGGGAGGGCTCCAGGAGGCCCTCACAAGCTCTGTTTTCACTGGCAGAGGCACTGCAGGCCGGTCCTTCACTGTTTCCAGGGCAGTCCCATGGACCAGATCTAAGCACCTTGCAGGCCAAATCCATCTCACAGGCCTTGAATTTGACACCCCTGGTATAGAAGAAAGCATTAGAAATGAGTGACCAAACTTTTATTTCATCCTTGGTTTATTTATAATTTAAATACGGTATTTATTCTTTTCTCCTCTTTTCCAGGTTAACCTAAAGAAGCCTTGTCCTTTCTGGAGTGATGGCAGTCATTGTGGAATTAGGCACTGTGCTGTTAATCCGTGCCCATCTGTAAGTGTCAGGAAAAAAAATAAAATCCTTTTCTATTTTCCCAATCCTGATATATTTTAATACATTCCATTTAGCCTGCAGAAAACTTGCTTTATGGAAAATACAAAAGCCAAACCTTGGCAATATCCCAGCGTGCTTCTTTGTTTTACAGGTAGTCCTCAATTTAAAACCACAATTGAGCCCAAACTTTTTGTTACTAAGTGAAACATTTGTTAAATGAGTTTTACCCCATTTTACAACTTCGCTTCCCACAGTTGCTAAGTGAATCACTGAGGTTAAGTTAGTAACACAATTGTTAAGTGAATCTGACTTCCTCATTGCCTTTGCTTGTCAAAAAGTTACAAAAGAGATCCCGGGGTCACAGAAACCATCATAAATATGAGTCAGTTGCCAAGGATCTGAAGTTTGATCACATGACCATGGGGATAGTCATTTTTGAAAAACAGTCCTAAGTTGCTTTTTCAGTGCCGTTGTAACTTTGAATAGTCCCCGAATGAACTGCTGTAAGTGGAGGACTACCTATATTTTGTTCTGAAAAAATATGATAGAAAATCTGTTTTGTTGAGGTATTAAGATTTAAGAGCTGACCAGCAGCAGTAATAGCTGCCAGATGCTGTAAATCTGATGCAATGTTAGGCTGATGAAATGAAGATGATTCAGCATAGCCTGGCTATTTCCCTTTAAGACTGGAGATGGGTTCTATCCCTTTAAGAGGTGTTTATATGAGGCAGGCATTAGAGGGCATGTTCTCTCTCTTTGTGTCCAGTATTCATTGCAGAAGTTCTCCGTGTAGACTTAAGAAGAAGAAAAATTACTTGTAAGGTATTTTGTCTACCATGTATATGCCTGTATATAACTGTTGTATATAAACCACTGTTAAATGTCTAAGTCTCTGTGTGCTGGGTTTTGCTTCAGGGTTGTCCCATAATGGTAGTGACGCTGCAAACGCTCTGACATGTTTCTTCTATCTTCTTTTAGAAGAACTGTCTGGCTTCTGTTTATTTTGTTGATAATATGATTCCCTGTGCTTGCTCAGGGAATACATAAGCCCTCCTTGCCTGTTCATGAGCTCTGCTAGTTGTCCTTCTTCTCCAGACAAGGGTCATAACCAGATGTTTCTTCAGAATTTCATCATAGGGAAATATGATTCCAGCAATGGAGAGAGGTCTAGCCTTTGTAGCCCCTTCCCTCTGGAATCCATTCAATACATTGAAAGAGGGTATATAAATAGCACACGTTCAACCAACATGGAGTTCGCAGTATATTGAAAGTACTACATGGTACACTGTAGCAGCTTTTTCAACCTGGAACTTTTCAGATTGTCAAAAGTGAATTGATAGATTTTACAAAATAAAATATTGTACAGTTAAAACCAGATAGCTGAAGGACCACTATGCCCTCATGCAGGGGTGGGATTCAAATTTTTTAGCAACCGGTTCTGTGGGTGTGGCTTAGGTGGTGGGCGTGGCTTGGGTCATGTGACTGGGTGGACATGGCTTGGTGATCATGTTATAGGCTGGATGTGGCCAACTCAATATCACTCACATCGAGGCACGCATCTCCTCGCCTGGCCTCTCATGTCTGTGGGGATGCTGCAACAGTCGTAAGTGTGAAAAATGGTCATAAGTCACTTTTTTCAGTGCCATTGTAACTTTGAATGGTCACTCCACACAAGCAAAGTACCAGCAAAGGAGGAAAAAAAAAAACTCCAGAGAAGTTCCAGAGACAGGAAGTCTAGTCCTGCCAAGAACGTAATAAGGGTTAACGGAGAGGCAGTTTCTGTAAGCAACACCAGAATGTTTCCTTCCTGCCTTCCTTACAGGATTAGGCCAGTAATTTCTTCTAACAACCAGTTCACCGAACTGCTTAGAATGTCAACAACCTGTTCTAGCGAATAGGTGTGAACTGGTAGAATCTCACCCCTGCCCTCATCATGTCTCATTAAGATCTTTTGGTGAATCTATTTTCTGGCCCACCTTCTGGTTTGAATGAGTGGAAATTGAAGGTTCCTCAAAAAAACCTGATGTCTTATTCTGGAATGTCTTTTCAGATTCCTGTATTTTGTACATTTTTAGATCAATGATAAGAATTAGTTTTACTAGATTAGTTTTTTTTAATCTCCTTTTTTAAAAAAACACGATGGTCCATTTTTGGTTTTTATGGGTTTATTATTACATTTCTGATGTTTCTAATTTAGTTCCCCTTTTGATAGTATTCTGCTACCATAGATTATTGGATGATCTTTATGATGCTTGCTCTTTATATAAATATGTCTTATTTTGTGATAGAGGTAATAAAAATTAAAGGATTAAAAAAAGGATCATGACTCATCAAAAAGCCACTGGTTTTAATTAGAGTGTTCCATGAGCTTGCCCATTCTGGATTTTAAGCCTAGTTTTAACCAAAAGTATTAAAACAGTTATAATGGCTTGTCTGAGAAAGTATAGTTAAAACAAATCATGATTTCATGTGATCCCTGAAATCAGATATAACAATCCTTGGTTTATACTTCCTATTCAAATTGCTTCTCCAGCAAAAAAATTAGTGTGGACCCAAAAGTTAAACACTATTAAATATTACATATTAAATAAACGCATCAAACTTGACTTCATTATCTCTTGTTTTCAGGAAGAGGTTCCTTGTGGAATTAGATCAGAGACTAATAAGGTAAGTACCAATCAGGTCCAGCCAGAACTCACTGGATCCAGGATAACTCTCCTGTTCTCTATGTGGTATTTGAAAAAAAAAACATTGGTTGTTTTTCCTTAAACTAATGACATCTTGATTTATGAGTCATTGTGATAATCATCAACCTACTTGCTAGGCCTGTCATTCCAACTTCAAATAGATATTATGCATTTAAGACCCCAAGAAATATAAAAAAGCTCTTAGTTTGTCCAATAACTATTGGATGAATGGTTTACCTAAAATAGAGACAAATGTGGATTTTTTAAAAAATTATCACAAGGAAAGAGGGTGAGGGATACTGAGTGGCCCATGGCCCATGTGGTTGACAGGCAAGAGTTGATCTGAGAATTGCTGGTTGTTAACTCATAGTGGTGAGTACATTTGAATTAGTTTCACATCTCCTGTCATCTTGTTTTATAGTATTCAGAAGCAGCTGCTGCCACTCCCTTGGCTGAAAGCTGTGAAAAAGCAGAAAACCTTGGGGCTGTTGACAAATCTTTGAGGTATAATTTATTTTTCTGAATAAACATGATGGCGGGGTGTTTGCTGGTTGCATACATTTTCTTCTTCCCCTAGAAGTTAGTTTATTTGTTTGATTTTTATCCTACCTTTAAGATTTTACAAGTAACTCAAGGCAGTGAATCTACCTAATACTTTTTTCTCCCCTTATTTTCCCTACAAGAACAACTCTGTGAGGCGAATTGGACCGAGAGAGTAGCTGGCTCAAAGTCACCCAGCTGGCTTTCATGCCTAATGTGGGACTAGAACTCATGGCCTCCTGGTTTCTAAGCCAGTACCTTAACCACTTTAGCTTGTACTTTTTAGTGTAGTCTGCCTGGACCCACTTTGTCAGAGTGGGCTGATGGAGGAATTGTATATCCTTTCCTCTGCAGAACCCAATGGTGACTTTTTTAATGTAAAAATTGTTTCATTTGTAAATCCCTCACTTTCAACTGGGAGACTTTGTCCACAAGCAAAATAATTCAGGTTCAATAGTTCATCTTATCCAAGAAGCATGCTTTCCCTCCCTTCTGCAGGCATGAGTACTTTTAGCAGCTTTTAAAAAAGGGGGAACTTCTAGTTTGGCAACATCCGTTGCTATTATTTCAGTCAGTTGCAATAGCACTTAGACTTATATACCACTTCACAGTGCTTTAAAGTCATGGGTGGGCTGCTGGGGGCTCGCAGGGGTTCGGGAGAGCCCGTAGCTAAGATTCCACCCATCCCACCCCACCCCTCCCAGGAGTCCCCACGGGGCCCGTTTTGGATGCAGGTAAGTGCAGGGCACGAAGTGGAGGCTCGGGGAGGACAAAAAATGGGCCACCCGGAAGTTTGGGAAGGCCAGAAACAGGCCTGTTTCTGGCTTCCAGAGAACCTCCGGAGCCCAGGGAGGCTATTTTAGCGCTCCCAGAGGCTCAAGGAAAGGAGCCCGGGGAGGTCAAAAACGCCTCCCCGTGATGCAGGAAGCTGAGTAGGCCACGCCCATGCCCACCCAGCAACCGGGCAGAGAACCCGTTGCTAAAATTTTTGAAGCCACCCCTGTTTACAGCCTTCTCTAAGTGGTTTACAGAGTCAGCCTATTGCCTCCAACAATCTGGGTCCCCATATTACAGACTTCGGAAGGATGGAAGGCTGAATCAGATACAGCCGGTGGCTTAGGCACAGCACAATGTGTTTCACCACAGTTTATTTAATTAAAGTATATTGTACGAACTATGAAGCTGTGTTTGCATATCACACTAAGTTATAAAATGTGGTTTACAAACCACAGTTGTTGGGTTCATATTAACATAAATCAAAACCCTAACTTTATTATATTTTAGTGTAAATGGTGTTTCAATTATATGTTAACCCATCTTGAAGTGCCAAATTCAGGGTTCCTGCCAGCCCTCTTAACTGTTGCCTACCAATGTTTTCAGGCATGCTGATACTACCTATGACACTTTCACACCTCCCACAGTCATTTTATCCAGGTCCCTGTATTTACGTACAACCATTTTCTCACTTATTTTGCAGTGAAGAAACTGCACGGGCTATGATTCAATGGACTCAGCATGACGATTCTTCAGAAAACTTTTGTGAAGCTGATGGTACTGTTGGTGTCTCCATTGTCTGTGTTTCTATTGAGGCATCTAAGGTGGTTGCAAAGATTACAGAATAAGAGAGTTGGAACAGACCTTGGATAACTTCTAATCCAACCTTCTGCTCCAGCAGAGAAATGCTATACCATTTCAGACAAATGGTTGTCCAATCTCTTCTTAAAAACCTCTAGTGCCCACAAGTTCTGGAGGATTTAAAGAAAGCTGGCATATGTATTTGAGATACACAGACACATGCTTGTCATCTTTATGGCCACCCTCTTACTCTTATGTAAAATGTAAACTCCTCTAAGAGTGGGAGGAGAAGATAAAAGGCAAAACAACATAGGAGAAAGCTGTGGTCCAAATCAGAGGTCCCCAACCTTTACGGTTTGGTGATCCGGTGTAGGGGAGGGGGGAGTGGGAAACCGGCTTGCCACTTGTGCGTGGGCCGACTAGTTCACGTGGCCTGGTTCCAAACAGACCGCAACCTGGTAGTAGGCCATGGCTTGAGGTTTGGGGACCCCGGTCCAAATTATAATGCTTGCCATTTATTTGGTTATATGATGAAAACAGAAAATATCCCTGGGCCTTAGCTAGATGTTTGGGGAATAGCTGTATGTATTCACAAACGGAACATCTTTAGAGAGCATTCAATGACATTAAAATGGCAGGTATGACCAGGTGATCAAGGCCATTCTTTTTTACATGTGTAGGTTGCATTGGATATTAGAAAGGGACAGAGTTGCCTAGCCATGCCCACCATTTTGATATTGCAAGTCTGCCCTGTTTATATAAAAACCACACAAGGAATTTTAACTCCAATTTCATGGTCAAAAAAGATAATGGGGCAAATTTGGGGAGAAGCTACAATTCTCAAATCTGAAATGGTACTCACTTCTGGGCCAGCATCATACAGCTTCTGTATATAGGAAGACCACATGGCAGATCAGCTGCTTCTTCCCAAAGGGGATCTTCAGAAAAAATGGACTGAGTCATGATTGGGGGGGAAATGGGGGTAGGACCCAGTGTGACGGGAAGCGGGCTCAGAGGGGGGGAAGAGGGTAGTGGAGCGCAGGTGGCTTAGGTTTGGGGAGCCGGGGAGGCCAGTTTGGGCCTGGTCTTATGGTGGTTCTCTCAGGGCCTCCTCCATACCTTGAGGCACTCTGTGCTCTGCTTAATGACTGCAAAGAGTGTGGTTGTTAAGCAAGGTGATTGTGTGGACGCCTTGCTTAACAACCACTATAACACATGACTGTACTGGACATACTCGATTGCGGTCATAAGTCAAAGACTACCTCTAGCACATGCTGCATTTATAGAATGAAATGATTCCAAACCATCATGGAAGCTTTTGATAGTTTTATCAGACTCTTGCTTGATTAAATGAGGAGTGTGCCTGGCACAGCATGAGTCCACAACTGAGAAAGTTGTGCTTTTCCCCCCTCATCTATTTCATGTTGGGAAAAATAGAACACTCTGAGGTAAAAAAAACTACAAAAGCAATTGGCAAGAGGCATCCTCAGATACATTCTTATTCTCTTTATCTCTCTTTTTAATGCAGCACTTTTTCCATTCCAGATATCCATTCCCCTGAAGCGGAGTATGTAGATTTGCTTCTGAATCCAGAACGTTACACTGGCTACAAAGGCCCTGAAGCCTGGAAGATTTGGAACAGTATTTATGAAGAAAACTGTTTTAAGTATGTTTATTTGGCCAGGCTTTAAAATTTTAAGATTTTTTTTTCCCAAAATATACTCACCTATTTTTCTCCTGGCTAAATTTCCTAAGGATTTCTAAGATTGGACTGTTTATTTATATTATTAATATCTTTGTATCTGGCTTTTCAATCTAGTTGCTGGAGTAACCTCAAAAACCGCAAAATAATAGAATAGTTTCAGCCTCAGTGCATGGAAAAGATGTTTGTGAATGTCTTCAAAAGGGTGAAAAATGTAACACAGAGACCGACTCACATGCTACGCTAACTCAATTAACAATGGCTTATTAAAAAATCTGGAGTTGGCTGGCATCACACAACCAGATCCGTGCTCTGCAAACACAGTGACTGTATTTTCCCAACTTGTTGAGCTAAAACATACCATTTAATAAAAGAACAGGGCTATGTTGTGGCTTATCTTGGGCATCTCAGCTACCCACAGACATTCCTCAGTACAGATCTCAACTCGGCCACAAATTCCTTTGGTGACCTTTGACAAAGACTTCTTTTCAGCCTTTGTTTCCTGTACCTTTAATACAGACAGGATATTACGACACAGTTATGCTTTCTCTGTGCCTAATAAATAAAGAGAGCATGTTCGAAAATTCATTACTGTTTGATTCCCACAGCCTGGGTTCCCACAACTTCTTGAGGTTGTCTTACTTATTAACTTTTTTTTTTTTTTTTGCCATCGCTTCAGTCTTGAATCCTGGCAATTAATGGATAAATCCATATAGTTTTCTAGGCAACATCAGTAATAGTTTGTCTTCCAAGGACTGAAAAACTTAAATTTCCTCAGTCCTAATTCAGAGTCTTAGCCAGGGGTGGGTTTCAATTTTTTTAACAAACCAGTTCTGTGGCCGTGGCTTGGTGGTCATGTGACTGGGTGGACATGGCTTGGTGGTCATGTTACTGGCTGGGCATGGCCAACTCAACATCACTCACATCGAGGGACACATCTCCTTGCCTGGCCTCTTGTGACTGTGGGTATGCTGCAACAGTCATAAGTGTGAAAAACGGTCATAAGTCACTTTTTTCAATGGTCACTCCACACAAGCAAAGTACCAGCAAAGGAGGGGGGAAAAAACTCCAGAGAAGTTCCAGAGACAGGAAGTCTAGTCCTGCCAAGAATGTAATAAGGGTTAATGGAGAGGCAATTTCTGTAAGCAACACCAGAATGTTTCCTTCCTGCCTTTCTTACAGGATTAGGCCAGTAATTTCTTCTAACAACCAGTTCTCCAAACTGCTTAGAATGTTAACAACCAGTTCTAGTGAATAGGTGTGAACTGGTAGAATCCCACCCCTGGTCTTAGCCACTAGACTAAACTGGCTATTGTCTGCGTGTCACTGGTTACATATTGGAAAAAATACAGCAATGTGAAAATCTTTATAGAGTCTTTCCTGGTTTTAGAGAATTGATTAAAGCTTTCCCCATCCAGAAATTATGTTGGATTATAGCTTCCATCATCCACAGCAATACCAATTGCATGGAATTAGTAATCCAATGTATCTGGAAGGTGCCAGGTTGGGGATAAATAAAGACTTTTAAAGAAAGGGTAAATCAGAATGCATTCTTGAAAGAAGTCTGAAAGTTTGCCTTCTCCCACATAAACTTATCCATTCAGCAATTAAGATGATACCTTTGAAGAATTTTTTCCATCCTTTTGAAATTAGCAACTATGGTAAATTCAAATGCTGCTCTCTAAATATTGGTCTAGTTCACTCCATTTAGCCTTTAGGACAGGTCTAAGAATTGATTTTATTTGCTAGAAATTGCGATGAAAATAATTCAGTTCTATGGTGGTCAATTGCTTTTAGTTATACCTTTAACCAATATTATTGTACATAGTTTTAACTATAACTAATTAAAATATGTTTATCTTATAGGCCTCGCTCAGTAAAAAGGCCTTTAAATCCACTGGCTTCTGGTAGAGGTAAGCTTATCTTTCCATTATTTTTAAGAGAAAGTTGATATTGATAGTGGACAGAGTTGCCATGTGTTTGCAAATATTGGGGTTATTGATAACAGAAGACGTGGACAAAATTCAAATTGAATTAACATTTTTCAGTGCCTATTAATGTCATATTTCATGCTGCTATACTATTAAAAAAATCTAAACATGGGAGGGCAATCAAAAGAGAAAATGCAAATAAGAATGGGACGGAGTCAAAAATAGGAAGAAAGCAAATAGAAACAATACGTTCTCAAAATATCATCCACCTAAGTGATTGAGGCACCAAGCTAGAAACCGGAAGGGCATGAGTTCAGATTCCACCTCAGTCAAAAAAGGCTAGCTGGGTGACCTTGGGCCGGTTATTCTCTCTCAGCTCAGTCTATTTCACAGGTTTGTTGTTGTGGGGAAAATAGGAGGAGGGAGGAATATTAGATATGTTCTCTGCCTTGAGCTATTTGTAAAAAAAATAAAGACAGGATACAAACAAAATTATTATGGATAAAAAATTTAGGCTACAAGGAGTATTATTGATCCTGCAAGAAGTCAAAGGGTGGCCAAATAAGATTCTTTGTAGAATAGGAATAATGCTAAAGTATTTTGATTAGCTGCATGCCCCTCCCATCAGTCTAGAGATCCGGAATAAATTGTGTAAGTCTGATCAATGGCTGAACTATAGTAGTTTCACTCTGAATCATGTAAGTCTGGGGAAAGAAATATAACAAATTCAGCAAAACAAGGTAAGATCATTACTATTTCAAAACAAAATAGTAGTTCTTGGAGTAGAATGGAGATTGATGCACAAACTTAATATTTTTAGTACCAGTTGTATTACATTGTGTTAGGCAATGAGTGCTCACTAGAGGCTTTGGACTGCAACTCCCATAATCTTTTACTATTGACTTTACTGTCTGAGGTTGATGGGAAAGGAAACTCAGAACATTCAAAGGCAAATATTTTCTGTTTTATCAGATTGCTCAGACCCATAAAAGTAGCCTAGAAATAACTGAAGACATTTCATCTGATTGAAATGTAATCTCTTCCTTTTCCATTATTAATTTGCTTTTGCAGGAGCAAGAGAAAATGAAGGTGAGTGCATTCCCAACAATAATCAAGAGGAAAGATATATTGAGAGATGTTAATTATTTGATCATTGGGGGAAAATATTAGCAAAATGCACGCCAACTACCATTTCTTCTTCCTTTCTTTACACTTCATACTCACCCTTCCAAAATTAAGTGCCTTCCAGATGTGTTAGGACTTGGCTATGTTAGCTGGAAAGTGCCAGGTTCATAAACACTATGCTGGGTGAGGACCTAGTTGGGTTCATCCTTCTTCTTAACAGTCCTTTATTCTGCTGTTGGAAGGATATGTTGCCAGCATGTACCAATGTATTAGCTGATTGGGTTAGAGCTAAGAAGAGAAAGAATTAAAACCATTTTACTAATGTGTGCAGCAGGAGGACATGAACGTACCTACATCAGGGCCATGAGATGCAATGTTGAGAGGAGACCCTGCTTTTGGAAAAATTCTTTATATACTTTTATAGTCAACCTTGGCATTAGATGCAACAAATGAAACTATCATAGATATCTTTCTGTTGTGAGAAAACCTTTGGGATGGCTCTTTTGTCAGGGCTCTGGCATCTACCCCCATTTAAATCATGAGTCTCTAGCCACATCTCTCAGAGTTTAAAGATGATTTATTAGGAGTGAACATGCTGGTGCTACCTGTGTGTAGCTGACTCTGAGACACATCATTCATTTCACCCTTGACCCTGTCTTCCCCCACCCCCAGGATGTATATTCTCCAATGGGACACATCCATAGTCAAGAGTCATCAATCATGCTCTCCAGTAATAATCTTGCGTGCCAGAAGCATTGGCTGCCTAGAAATTATCTATGAAAGCATTTAAGGAATGAATTACTTCCCCCACTCCCTTTCTTTTGGCAACTCTAAAAGACCAGAGAAATATTTTTGAGCTGATATTTTTCTCTTTTTCCAGGGAATATGTTTTACAGCTGGTTGCAAGGTAACTGATTTTTTTACCACTTTAATGAATGCACTGTGGGTTGCATTGAAGATACAATGTTGAATACACTGCAGAACTAAATTTCTACCTTTCGAATTGCCATAGTTTTCTCTCAATGTTCCTTACAGATCTCTGTGTGGAGAAGAGAGCTTTCTACAAACTTATTTCTGGTCTTCATGCAAGCATCAACATTCATCTCAGTGCTAGATACCTTTTGCAAGGTTGGTGGCCTCACTTTCTTCTTAATGCTCAAAGGCAGCCTTTTCCAACCTCTAAGACAGGGGAAAGGGGAAGAGTAGAAGCACATGGCCATTTCTTCTGCTCCATCACCACCGTGGCAACTGTGAACGCTTGAGATCTCACTTCACTTCCTTTGACAGCCAAAATATCCTTTTGTGATTCCTTACAAAACCCTGTATCATAATAAAACTGTATAAAAGCCTCAAATGTAGAAAGAAAGTGAAAATATCACAGTGTACATGCTTGGGTATCAGAGGTGGTATTCAGCAGGTTCTGACCAATTCTGGAGAACCGGTAGCAGAAATTTTGAGTAGTTCAGAGAACCAGCAAATACTACCTCTGACTGGCTCTGCCCCCGTCTGTTCTCTGCCTCCCGAGTCCCAGCTGATTGGCTGAGTCTTCTTTTGTTGCCCTGAACAGGAGAACGGAGCTGGAAAGCAGGTTAGTGGGGTTGGGAGGAAATGGGGGTTTTGCAGTATTCTTCCCCTGCCATGCCCACCAAGCCATGCCAGGCGCACCAAGCCATGCCCACAGAATCAGCAGTAAAAATTTTTGAATCCCACCAACTGTTGGGTATCCCATCACTGAAATTCATTTGTCTACTCCACCGCTGCTTCATTAGGAGGAGGAATTCTGTTGATAATGTTGGATGTAGCGGTGCATGTATGAGACAAGCAGCAACCATCAAATAATCTGATCTCAAGTAATTTAGGATTGTGAAGAACAGCAAGGCTTTTTGAGTACAGGTAGCCCTCAGCGTACAACAGTTAGTTTTGTGACCATTCAAAGTTACAACGCCACTGAAAAAAGGTGACTTATGGCCATTTTTCACAGTTACGACCTTGCAGCATCTCCATGATCATGTGCTCAAAATTCAGACACTTGGCAACTGACTCATACGGTTGCAGTGTTCCTGGGTCATAGGATCCCCTTTTGCAACCTTCTGACAAGCAAAGTCAACGGGGAAGCCAGGTTCTCTTAACAACCAGGTTAATAATTTATCAACTGCAGTGATTCACTTAACAATTGTGGCAAGAAAGGTCATAAAATGGGGGAAAACTCATTTAACAAATTACATGTAGTAGTAACTCATTTGTTAAATGAGTTTTAGGGCTCAATTGTGGTCATTGGCCAAGGACTACCTGTATTACTACATGGCACAGGGCCAAATTACTTGTGGGTTTGTCTTTCCTGGAAGTATCTGTCCCTCGTATTAGGTTAAATATGGTGGGTGCACTCCAGGTCCCTTCCCTTAAACGTTGTCAATGGGACTTTGGAGGAGCATCTTCTTAGTAGCTGCCCAGTCCTTTGGAATAGCCTCCCATCTGAGATCTTAGGACTGTTTGCTTAAAGACCGTTTGAAATTACTTGAAGTTACGACAGCGCTAGGAAAAATCATGATCTGTATTTGCACATATGACTATTGTAAACCATTGTACCACCTCTGAGATCACATGATCACAATTTGGGTGCTTGTCCATCTGCTCACATTTACAATGGGTTGTAAGTGTCCTGCAGTCCCCTGATTGTGAATTGCAATGGGTTTTTTTGCCTGATTCCAGTAAATAAAATGGCAAAAAAAAAAAAAAATCCCATTGGGGAAGCTGGATTTACTTAATTTCACAGAGTCATCTTTACAAAAACCATTGTACAAGTGGTCTAATATAAAATTGGGTCTAACCATATGGCGACTTGACTTAAAACCTCAATGACTTGTGATGGAAATTCCTTATGATGGAAATTCCAGTCCCAATTGTGGTCATAAGTCAAGGACTACCTGTAATGCAATATATTAACACAGTGAACATCAGGCTTGAATACCGGTAGCTAAACCATCTGAGTTGTCATGAAAAGAATCTAAATTTTTAAAAAGTATGAACTGAATTTGGACCTTTAGCAGAAAGCACCAATGATTTATCTGTAAACTGTGGGCCCTCCCTTTCAGGATGTTGCTTAATAGCATCAGTTTGGTTAGTTTTAATCTTGATTTCTTTTGTTGGTTGTGCAAACCCAAGCGATTTGTTAGGTTTATGATTTAGTACGGTATTATGTGAAGTCGGAAGATGTGCTCATTTGGTAACCAGATTAAGTGTGCTATATGTATTGAACATAACACATTTGATTGTACCTTTTTGATTGTGTGTGTGTGTAGAAAGACTCTAGCATTGGAGGCAGAAAAGTGAGGCTTATTTAGATCTATGGTTTCTGGGCCAGAAAGAAAACAAAGTTTGTCAGGTTTTATTATGATTGTTCACCCCCCCAATTCTCATTTAATCAAATGACTAAGCAAAATAGAAAACAGAAGTTTTACAAGAAGTTCTGAGGCAATAAAATGCAGGATGAAAGGGCCAAACCACACATAAAATAGGAAGCATGAGCTCATAGAATGATAGAATGACTTGAATTTTGTTTCACCTTTCAGCAGGATCAAAATTTAATTGGATCAGCCATACTGGCAAAGAAGCTTCTTTAATATTTTATTTCTGTGTTGTTTTCCCTGATCTGGATGATTTTGTTTTTCATATGCTATCAAGAGGTCTCTAGCTGAGTAGCTGAGTCTTCTGATTACTCTTATCAGGGAATTTAAGACAAATGGGAGCAAATTAAAGTGTGTCTTTGCAGATATCACAGGGGGAAAAACTCCCTGCAGTGACTAAAATGTGGCAAATATATGAAACATAAATAGGTTTGATTGATTTGATCTGATTTGATTTATAGGATTGCTCAAATCCATGGCTATTCTGGGCAATACACATACTGTAAAAACCACAGACATCCAGAAGGAGAAAGGTCATTCACTCTAAAAACAATATAACACACAGGAATGGATTAGATTAGGTCTTTTTAATCCTGCCTTTATTGTTTTCATAAATAACTCAAGGCAGCAAACTTATCCAATTCTCTGTCCTCTTCCTATTTTCCTCACAAAAACAACCCTGTGAGGAGAATTGGGCTGAGAGAGAGGGACTGGCCCAAAGTCACCCAGCTGGCTTTCATGCCTAAAATCAGACTTAGAACTCACAATCCCCTGGTGTTTAGCCTTGTGCCTTGGAGGAACAAGTTACTTGGAGGAACAACCTGTTTTTATGGGACCTTCTAAATATAGAAGTTGGCAATGCTTCAAATCTCATCCATTAAGCAATGTCATTTGATGGGACTTACAAAATGTGCTTTGTCTATATAAGTTCCTACCTTCTGGAATAATATTCCCTAAGATCTGCTTGAGAGCTAAGTGACCATACAAAGAAAGAATGAATGAGTCAATCAGTCAGTCAGTCAGTCAGTCAGTCAGTCAATCCCATTAGATTTCCCCCCACCAATATGATTGAAATTGTCCATCTATGTATATAGATAAAAGAAAAAAGCAGATAATTGTGGGATGAGTGGGTACTTTTTAAACAAAAAACATTTTGGCCACAGAATGGTGTTCTGATGTGATGATGTCACTTAGCAAGTGCAACCTCTTCCTCCTGTAGCAGAGGTCTCCAAACTTGGCAACTTTAAGACTTGTGGACTTCAACTCCCAGAATTGAAAGTTGAAGTCCACAAGTCTTAAAGCTGCCAAGTTTGAGGACCTCTGTCCTATAGCTTTGATTTGTTCTACAAGTCAGAATAATAATAATAATACAACAATCATGATATATCTATTTTGACCCTTCTACCCTTGGCTGAATTTCAGCATCACATCTAGGGGGTCTACAAGTTGTGTGCTGGGGAGTTGCTTAGGATGAGATGGTTGAGACTTGCCATGAATGATTTTTGAGTCATACCTTCAATATTACCTTTAGCTCTTTCTTTTCCTTTCTTTTAAGACACGTGGGCAGAGAAGAGATGGGGGCACAATGTTACAGAGTTCCAGCTGCGCTTTGATGAGGTCTTGACACAAGGTGAAGGTCCTAGGAGGCTGAAGAACCTGTATTTCATCTATCTCATTGAGTTACGGGCCCTCTCAAAAATCTTGCCCTTTTTTGAACACCCTGATTTCCAGCTTTTCACAGGGGATGAAGATCAGGATATAAAAACCAAGAACCACCTCCTGGAAATTCTTCATTTAACTAAGTAAGTGCAATCTATTTCAATGTGCTTCTTTGGTCATCCCAAGTATGGTTTGTAATTATTTTTGCTTGTTAATGATTATTTTCAATGGACTGTTAGCCACCCAGAGTTGGATGTTGGGTGGGCATAAATTGAATACTTAAAAAAAAAGTCCTTGGGCTGATGGGATGATGGTGCTTCAAAGAGCAGGTTTTTATTCACTTTACCTGTGTAAAGTAACCACTTCAACCAAAAATTTAATATAGTTCAATTATTTAATTCAAGGTATTATTGGAAGTCACTAAAAGCATTGTAAATAATTTTTGAATTATTTAGAACAATATTGGGAAAATTCTAAATATTATAAATCTAATCATGTTTTGAGTGTATATTTAAGGCACCTGAAAATTACAGCCTTTTCTTCATCCTGAAGGATGAAAAAGTTTTATTTATGTCCCATCTTTATTATTTTGATAAATAACTCAAGGCAGCTAACATACCTAATACTCCTTCTTCCTCCTATTTCCCCCACAACAACAACCCTGTGAGGAGAGTTAGGTTGAGTGACAGAGATTAGCCAAAGGCTACCCAGTTGGCTGTCATGCCTAAAGTGGGACTAGAACTCACAGTCTTCTGCTGATTGACCCAAAGTCATCCACTTGGTTTTCATGCCTATAGTGGGATTAGAATTCATAGTCTCCTGGCTTCTAGTCTGATGCCTTCACCTCTACACCAAATATGAGGAACCAAGAATTTAAAATAAAGTGTGTAGCCCATTTATCTGATAATACACACAATTTTACATTCATTGCACACTGTGTAAGAGAGCCAAACAAATAACATTCTAGACTATTTGTCTGAGATGATTTGGGGAGTCTTGGGGAGGAGGTGGACTAGAAGACCTTAATGTGTCCCTTCCAGCCTTATGATTCTATGCTTTTACAGTGACTGTGTATGGCTCCAAGCTTTTTAACTTTCAGATATCAGAACCGACTGGAGAAAAAAAAATAGTTTGGTTAACAGAATGTGGTAATGTAAGTTAGAGAAAAATTCAGTTCTTACCACCAAATCAGTGGTGGTATTCAGCCGGTTTGCACCGCATCGGGCGAACCGGTAGCAAGGATTTGGTATGGGTTGCCTAACTGGCAGTAAGTTCTGGCAGGCCACGCCGCAGATCCGGTTGCCCGGTTGCCGCTGGCCTGCTTGCCCCACCCGCCCGATGCTCGCTCACCCCACCCACTTGACGCTCTCCCCTTAAGGTATTTCTTGTTTTTTCCCCCTCCTGACAAACAGCTGTTCATATGATCAGCTGTGCTGGGATTCCCCTTGCTGAGGCCCAGGAAGGCAAAAAATTGAGGCAGGGCCTTAGCCCCCCCCCCCTCCATTTTTTGCTTTCCTGAGCCCCAGAGGAGCCTTGTGGGAGTGAAAATGCCCCCTCTAGAGGCTCTTCTGGGGCCAGGAAGATCCCCCAAAATGGGTGGGGGTGGCTGTATGTATGTATCCCACCTTTATTATTTTTGCAAATAACTCAGGGTGGTGAACATATCCAACACATCTTCCTCCTTCTACTTTCCCCACAACAACAACCCTGTGAGATGGATTGGGCTGAGGCTGAGAGACAATGACTGGCCTAAAGTCATCCAGCTGCTTTTCGTGGCTAAAGCAGGACTTGAACTCATGGTCTCTCGCTTTCTAGCCTTAACCACTAAACCAAATTGGTTTTCAAACTGGCTATTTTGTGAGAGTGGGGTGTGTATTTAGATATACCTGGCTGGTACAATGGCATCCACTTAGTCTTGCAATGAAATGGTAGATCATTGCTTTAAAGAAATGCAAATAAAAAGGTAAGAATTGGGCACTTCCATAGGAAGCTGGAGCAGAAAACTAAGCTAAAGAGATATGGGCAGGCAAGCAAGAAGCCAAACTGAAAAAGAAAAGATAGCACATAGGGAAGAGTCAATTTTAAAGAAAAGTGAACTATAATTCTGAAAAAAAGAATGCAATGTTATTAAAATACAGTTTACCCTAAGTAATTCACATGATATAGTAGTTCATACAGTTTTGTTAAATAACATTTCAATTGTTCACAAGCAAGCAATTAATATAACATACAGTATCTCTGCTAAGCAACAGATACTATATTATTAGGAACAGAATTGAGAGAATCTATCAGTTACCTCATCTGGATAAAAATCAAGATGGCACCAATGAGTTACAAGTATATTGAGGGTTGACCCACACAACCAGGTCTTCCTCCTGTGTGTGTCAACTGTCTCACTCTATCATCTAGCCAAGGAAGACTCCTGGCCCATTGTTTTACCAAGAGTATACTTTACTAAAGCATAAATGGTTACAGAAGTAGTGAAGCTGGATCTGGCGTTTGTGCGCGCAAACAATAAAATTAACTTTCCCCTTTCCCGGCCATTCCCCTGTTATCAATTAATGTCCAATTGAGTGCTTGTATATTGTTTGGGTAACAGACCCTCAGTTCCCGAGCTTTCCAGCTCTGCATTCCGATGAGTGACCCTGGGCTGGCTGGTGTTTCTCACGCTTTGGCCAGGCATGGTTTGGTTTCCACCCCCCCACCCCCGCCTAATTCCTCTCTACCTTCTAATCTACTCCCTCATTACTAATGTCAGGCTGTCAGCTTATGATGCTTGGCTAGCTTAATGCCAGCCATGACAGTGGGTTTCTCAAGTGCAGGAATACACAATATTCGGCTTGTACCAGGCTTACCTGAGAAGTAACCGCCACTCATCTTTTCCTTCTGCACATCAAAATACTGTTTTTTGATTTATGCCAGTTCAAGCAATAAAGTCTGGTTCATCTATTGCTCTTCATTTCATTGTAGGAAACCCCTCTATTTTATTTGGCTATTGTGCACTATAGGTAGTCCTAGATTTACGGCCGTAATTAAACCTGGAATTAAACCATAATTAAACCTCAAATCACTTAATGACCATTAAATAATACTGGCCATTAAGTGAGTCAGCCCAATTTTGTTATCTTTTTGCAGTGGTAATTAACAAATGCAGTGGTCATTAATCAAACCGATTGTTTGCAACCAATGTTTTTTGCCATCCAGAAGTCGGTAAAACTCTTTGCTAGCCTTTAATTGCCTCGATTTCTGTTGCCAAGATTTAGCAATCCTAATACCAGTATAAGATCCCAGTTTTGGGTGGGTGATTGTAACTTTTTAGAATATATTGTTTTATCCTCTAAATAAAAATAGCTTTTATGCTGTTTCTGATCCTAGTTAAACTTGTCTTCATTCCAACTGCAATTAAGGGCTAAAAGATAAACATGCTAGTCTCTTGACTCCTCAGTGGAGTTTGGATAGCACAAATCAAAGGTATATTTAATTTATGATTGTCATCCCCAGTACAATTGCTGAAGGCAAACAGCTTTCAACAAAGTTCACTGTAATGAATTGCAAACTTTGTGAAATACAAGGTGTAGCCCTGAAGGCAAATGACAATAATACAATAGTAGTACATAGATCTCAAAATGTCACTAGAAACTTAAAATTCTAGTTACAACAGAAACCAACATAAAAGACCCTTAAAAGAACTACTTAAATTAATAACTGCTGATGAATAGAATTGTTTTCATTCTCTTCTACAATGAAAGACCTTCGTTATTAATAGTGTTTGTCTTCTGCTTCAGATCTTTTCCTTTGCACTTTGATGAAAATTCACTTTTTGCTGGAAACCAAAAGGAAGCTGCCAAGTTAAAGGTAAAATTAAGTCGCTTTCTGGGTGGGGGAGAAATACACTTTTTATTTGTAAGCTCAGTGGGGCCCAACATCAAACAGTCTTGATACAGGATTGCATTTGTGGCAGTGAAGACTTTAAACCTAGTTTGTTAAGCTGATATAGAAAACTATAAAACACTCCTATCAGAAATTAATTAGAAATTATAGCATCAAACAATAAAATATTCCTAACCAGCTTCTGGGAGAGAAGAAGAAAGCTCTCTTTGGTTCATCAGGCCTTCTACAAAAATGTGTGGAATAGGGCAAATCTTGCAACAATCTCTCAAAGGATTCCATCAAATATGGATTTGAAACAGACAAGCCTTTAGAATAGATCCTGGGAAACTGAGATTCCAGGCATTAGTGTACTACAACACCCAGCAACCTTTAGTATTGACTTTGCTAAGTACTAACTACTAACTACTGAGGTTGTAAGCCATTTTTGGAGAAGAACAGATTTCCTATTCCTGAAAGGTAGTTATAGAAAAAGGACAGTACCATGCTTTGGTTCAAAGGCAAAAATGTACTTATGAATGCACAGGAGGCATAGATGTAGCACCTATATATCCAGGTAGTTCTTGAATTATGACTGTAAATGGAGCCTGCCCCTTACGATTGTAACTTACTGTGGTTAGAAAATGTGTTGGTCATGTGATTGACCTGAATTTATAACCTTGTCTGTGGTGGTCATTGAGTGAATCTGTGTCATCAAGCAAACACTGCAATTATTAAGTGAACCAATGTTTTGCTGTGGGTGTAGTTTTGATGAAAATTTCTAATCTGGGTTGTAAGTACTCCCTAGGTAGGTCTGTTGGAACTTCAAACAGTTGCTAAGCTTAGGACTAGATGTAACTGCTTAAGACAATTGTGTCTTTCCCCAGGGTGGGTGATATTTCCATGAAAAGATCCCTTTGGTTTTAAGGAATTGCAGAGAGACTCTGGGGTAGTTACCTGAATCCTAAAGAGCCCTTATGCTTTTAAATGTTGCATAAAAGGAAGAATTCCTCCACTTGATCTTCCTGCATTTGCTGCAGAGTTGCATCCTGGAAAACAATAACAATAACATGATAACATAATAAATTAATAAATAAAGCTCAGAAGCCTGATTCTGGATTTTTCTATTTGAACTAGCTAAGGTATCGAATGGGAGAAATGCTGTCGATCAAAGATAACGAGTGAATTTTTTAATCACTAATTCATTCGTTCATTTATTCTTTATCAGGAAGAATTTCGGTTCCATTTTAAGAACATTTCAAGGATCATGGATTGCGTAGAGTGCCTGAAATGCCGCCTTTGGGGGAAGCTGCAAGTAAGTTACTCCCCTCCCCCCTTTTTTTCTTTTCTTTCCTGTTTCTTCAGCTTTTTTGCATTGGTGGCCTTTGTTTTCTGTTGCTGTCTTCTCAATTCTCGCTGGGTATGCCTTTGTTTTCAAGGCTGGATCTTATGCATCCAGAATTAGCCCATCTGTCTTTCTTCAACTTTCCTGCTCTTAGCCATTGCCAGGTCTTATATTATTATACTTTTATCCCCCTTCCCTTTTTATATAAAGTTCAACATAATGAACATGCTTAGCTCTCCTCCTCCTATTTTCTCCACATCAACTACCCTATGAAGTAGATTCACCTCAGCAATAGCACCTAAACTTATATACTGTTTCACACCCCTCTCTAAGCGGTTTACAGAGTCAGCATATTGGCCCCCAACAATCTGGGTGCTCATTTTACCAACCTTGGAAGGATGGAAGGCTGAGTCAACCTTGAACTGGTGAGAATTAAACTGCCAAAATGCTGGCAATCGGCCATCAGCAGAATTAGCCTACAATAATGCATTCTAACCACTGCTCCACTACGACGCTTAGAGAGAATTGACTGGTCATCCAGATGTATTTCATTCCTAAAGGAGGCCTAAAATCCACATTTTCCTGGTTTCTAGGCCAGCATCTTCATTGGCTCTCTTTATATCTCTTCCCTTCTCTACTCTGCATCAGTTAGAGTCTCATTAGGTTAATGACGATGATGGCTTTTTAAAAGAACTGTAGCTAATACAAATACTGAATTAGCAAGATATATTGCTGGTCAATATCCTTGCAGCAAAAATATTTTTACTTTTTTGACGCACAATTGAGAATTCCTCTTCTAATGTCAAGTTTGACATTCAGCAAATATAGTCTGGTATCTTTGATGCAGTTGAAGACCAGCACAAAATAAAACTCAATAGTAAAAAAACACGTGACTTATAAAAAAGAAGAAATTATAAAATTGATTGGACCTTCCAATTGGTGCATTTTGTGTACGGCATCGCAGAATTTAACAAAATTTAGGGCATCCATCTATGTCCGTGTGTCTGTGTAATTTAAAAACAAGGATGTTCTATTCTCTTCTTTACTTTTACATTAATATTGTATGGGTTTAGCTAATGTAATATTTGCATGTTTGATCAGATAGGATGTTTGGAGGACCACCCGTTTATTTAATACTTTATTTAAATTGCCCAGTTTTTACTTTAAAAAAAAGCTGATAGTGATTACAACCTCACTTCCTGGTGTGGCGTTTAGTTGAAATCTTGTTCCTATTGTGTACAGACTCAGGGCTTGGGAACAGCACTGAAGATCCTGTTTTCTGAAAAACTGATAGAAAATATATCAGAAAAAGGTCCTTCACATGAATTTCATCTAACAAGGCAGGAGATTGTGTCCCTCTTCAATGCTTTTGGGAGGTGAGTTTACACATTCTATTTGGAAGAAGAATTCAGTGTCACGTATTCTCAAACTATGTTTCCTCCCCCCTTTCCACAGTCTCTTCCAGATTAGCTAAATAGAGATGCCATGCTACACTTCTATCCAAATAATATTTTTTCCCATTCTCTAATGCAGGATTTCAACAAGCGTTAAAGAATTAGAAAACTTCAAGGAGCTCTTACGCCCTCTTCAGTGAATTGACCCTGATGGAGACCAACTTTCTTGTTTTATGCAGATTGGGCTCAAAGTGATTTCTGCTGGTGTTGTGCCAGCATGATCCCATTCTTGGCAAGAAGGGCTAAGTCAACATGAAAATTGGTCACATTCTCTAGCTTACAAGTTTATATTTGGCTCTGAGGTAGCTGAAATATTCATGAAAGACTCTTCTTCCAGAGCAGGATATACATATTGGCCTTATGCATTCTATTTTTTTTAAACACACACACACAAACACATATATATATCATGAGGGTGGGAGAAATGTATCCTTCCTGGTAATTGCTGAACTACAACTTCTGGCAGCCTTTATCAGCATGACCATTAGTGAGAGAAGCTAGGAATTGTACTTTACCCAATATGTGAAGAACTTCAGGTTCCTTACCCCTTGTTTGCAAGGTTTCTTCCAGCCTGAAGGATCTTATCTACTACTGATAAAAAGGCACAGTGCAGCTATTCTATATATTTTTCTATTTGTGGAAGGAAAAGGCTGGTTGAAAAAAACCATGGTTACAAATGAGGCATGATGACATCACCTGGGTTCCCTGCAAAGCAACTGCATGATAAAATGCCTCATTTAGACACATGATTTAGAATCTCTTCATCTTACATAACAGTGTCTCTTAACAAAAATTACTTTCTGCTTCAGTGTCCTTAAATAATCCTGTGTAAGATGCCCAAAACAACCTAATCTCACATATTAGAGTGAATGAGCGATATATTTACAAGAGCCATTCGAGGCAGGTCCACTTGCCTGTTCAACATAGGAATTTACATTAAAGCATTTCCAGCAAGATGGCTCTCTCCTCTCACAGGGTTTGTGTCAGTGGTGGGATTCAAATTTTTTACCTACCGGTTCTGTGGGCGTGGCTTGGTGGGCATGGCAGGGGAAGGATACTGTAAAATCTCCAGCCAGAGGTGATATTTGCCAGTTCTCTGAACCACTCAAAATTTCTGCTACCAGTTCTCCAGAACTGGTTTGTGTGTCATTTTTTGAAGCTGGCTGGAAGTGGAACTCCAGACTTAATATTTCCAGTCAGTTCCTGTTTATCACTGAGTTGTATGAGATGGGTCTATGACAATTTGCTGCAGCCAACTGGCCACAGTCAACTGGCCACGGCCAACTTGTCACAACCAACTGACCACAGCCAGCTCACTGCAGGACAACTCATTGCAGGACAATAGTTACACTAATATCAAAGAAATAGTGGAATATAATCATTAAAGAAAGGATGCAACAGGAGGAACCAAATGAAATGTGAACAACAAAAAATTAAAATAATTTTTAAATAATTCAATTGAATTCTTAAATTGTCCCACAGTGAGTTGTCCTGTGGCAAGTTGGCTGTGGTGAGTTGTCCCATGGTGAGCTGGCCATGGTGAGTTGTCTCATTCCAGTATGAGATTCCCTCTTTATTCTCCGAAGCCAAGCTCTGAGTCCAAAGCAACTGGTCTCTATCCAGACACTCTCCAGAGATCCCATTGGAGATCTCTTCATTCCTAGCTGAAATAGCTATTAGCTGTGTTGGCTGGGAGTGATGGAATTGAGACTACATTACTGTGATTTTGGTACAATAATTTTTCATCATCTGGTGCCCACTAGATAGTTTAGAGCAGGGGTGTCCAACCTTGGCAACTTTAAGTCTTGTGGATTTGTAATTTCTTCTTGTGCCGCAGAAGAACGTCAACAACCAGTTGAAACAGAGCTGTCTTTTCCTGGAACTGCCTGGCTCTCTCTGCCGCTGCTGGGTGATTGTAGAAAAAATCAGGTTTGGTTTCAGGAGTTGCAGAAAAATGATTAATGAGTCCCTCCCCTTCTCCCCACAAATTCAGAAGCACTTTTACAACCCCCAGTAGGATCCGATATTTTTCCTCTCACTCTTTTTAGTTGCCCATTCCACTGAGTGTGCTTACTCCACACACTCTTTTGGTGATTAAAGCAAAGATTAGAAGGTTCAATTAAGGGTATACCGATCATAAAACAAGATACTTAAAACAAATGTGGAAGTCATAACACAAGGTTTTGAATTTTATAGCTGTTCTGTTCCATTTTATAGAGCTGCAGATTATGAACCTTTTGCAAGTTTTAATAATAGTATCCTTCAGAACTTGGAGTAAAATTCCGCCTTCATTTTCCCCTTTTAGCATAATCCACAGCATTACCAGAGTAAACCAAGGAAGGTGCCAGGGGTGAAGAAAATAAATTTATATCTGTATTATGATCCCCTCTCATCTTGCTTCTTAGTGGGTTTGGTGCAATTTTGACACTAGATTGTCACATTTTACATCCTGGTGTAAGAAGTTTCAGCATCCCTTCTTCCGAAAAGTTTCATGAAACGAATACTCCATATTTGCCATGTTTGTTGCTTTGTGCCAGACTTCCCCAACTTGGACATGGTATTCCCAGAATTCTCAACAAGTAGCTGCTTTGGAGAATTCTGGGAATTGAATCCATGGGAATTTCCCCTCCCACATTGGGGAAAAAAAATTCCTGTGCCAAGATAAACTTTTATTTGCATAACATTGTGGGGAAAAGTAGGGAGTTGTAATAAAACCATAGGGAATTTCTGCCACTGAGCTAGATAGATTTGTAAGTTATAATAGCCTAGAGGAGGTATTTTTTTATTGCCTGGAAAATAAGAGCTACTCAGGGAACTACAGTTATAAGATCCCATATTTGGGCTTTCCAATTCCCTACTGTTGCACAAGAGGGTCCTTCAGCAAAAATTGTATGCTTCAAATCAAGGAGGTCTTCTATTTCAGTGATCCTTCCATTAGCTCTGAAACCTCAACAGGACATATGCTATTGTAAGTTGTCCTAAGGCAGGGGTGTCAAGCTTGATTTCATTGAGGGCCACATCAGGGTTGTGTTTGACTTCAGGGGACCAGGGTGGGTGTGGCCAGCTCAAGGTCACTCCTGTCAGGGGCGCTTGTGGTGGCCGTAGTGCTCTGCCAGCAAAAATAGACTCCCAAGCTCCGTTTTTGGCTGCCACAGCCTCCTGCAACCCTCTGCCAATGAAAACGGAGCTTGGGAGGGTCGCAAGTTTTGTTTTACTGCCAGAGGGTTGCAGGAGGCCGTAGCAGCCAAAAATGAAGCTCGGGAGCCCATTTTTGCTGGCAGAAGCACTGCGGGCTGGTCCTTCACTGTTTCCAGGGCAGCTCTGCAGGCCAGATCTAAGTAACCTGTGGGCCAGATCCAGCCCCCGGGCCTTGAGTGTGACACCCCTGGCCTAAGTGGAAGAGCAGTCTTAATTTAGGCCAGCCCTTGAGATCACAAGCTGGGGAAATGGGAACTGGGTATTTCAAGCTTAAAGTGGAAAAAAAATAAGCAAAGGCTTTTTGACCCTCACTACTGAATGTAATACTTTAGAGCTGCCTCTATGTGTTTAGTTTCTTCATATTTGTTTAGTAAAATGATGCTTCTTTGATTGCTGTCCTATTTTCAAGGAAAGCACAGAGATACTTTTGTCCTGTACTTGAATTGCTCTTTACTGTGAAGATTAAAGTAAGACTTCAAAATAAAATTAAAGACTACTACTTCCAACGCATCTCCGTTTCCTTCTTTTTGATTAAATCACCATAGAAAGGACTTCCAAGAGAATAATGCAAAGTGTGCTAACTAGCCTTGGGGTTTGGGAGCTGAGATGGACACTACTGGAATGTAAAAGTACATATAAGTACAAAACCTGGATATGACAGCTGAGTAAATATGTTATTTACTTCTCTTTCTTTTGATGTTTCCAAAATGAGGCCAAGAGGCTTTGGGGAATTTGAAGGAATGGTTGTTCAAGGTGTTAACAATTTCACTGTGGTGGTGGCTTTCTTTTAATAAGGGCTAGTGGTATAGTATACACTTTCAACAAATAATGATTAATGTTAAAGGAAGAAAAACTTTCATAGGTAGGGGTGTTCCTGCAACATGCTTCCATGTGTAGTTTATTCAATCTTGAGCATATGCTGAGAGTAGCCTAACACATTAAGCTAAAATGTATTTTGTGGTAAACTGTATCTGATAAAACATCCAGAATGTCTCCTTCAAGTATGTAAATTCTGATTTGTTGCAGCTATTTGGAAAGTCACTATTTTAATAGCTCTTCCATAGAATATTTGTGGAAGTACAATTTCACATACTTTAGAACTGTGATCTAGGAATACACTGTATGGATAGGAGGAAAGTTTTAAGAACTTTCCTTAACCTCTCTGCTTCCTGTTTGCTTGAAGATATACATTTATGTTTTAAAATAGAAGTAAGTGATTGACTTCCTATTTTACTGGATAACATTTTACTGGAGAACATTCTGGTTTCTATTAGGAGATACGTACAAGTTGTTCAAACCGTTGGAGTTATAAGGTTCCATCTTTTGCCACACTTGTAGCCTTTTTGAAGTCTATAGGCATTTATACTTATTCTCCTGCATTCATCCAGTCTCAACTGTCAGTGCCTATCCTTCCATCCCCCTAACCATCATGACTAATGAAGCTTTTTAGATAAAAAGTGAAATGTTTTCTTCTTACTCAAGGAAAAAAATGGTCCAGTTGCCTTTGGAAAAACTCCTTTGAGACCTTATCCAAGTTCCCCCTCCCCACCTCCCGCAAGCTTATTTTTCTGGCAGCAGACTAGACAAGTAATATTCTGGCAATTGGAAGAAGATTCAAGGAAGAAGATGACAAAACTAACTGAAAAAGTCAAAATGCATCTTTTCACAAGATTAAAAACAAGCCTCTTTATTTTGAAATGTAACATTACAATTCAAGAGAAGGAAATGAACACGGTAGAGCCAGGGTTGCCTCTTTTAGCCTCTCCGGTGATTGGAGAGAAAACAGGCAAATAGTGTCAAAATGAAACATACCTAAAATACCCCATTCTTGATAAAGGCTTAATTTGATTATATATAAAAAGTAGTAACAGATATAAATAAAACACAAAACTGGCCCCCTTCAATGCAGCCAGAATTTCAACAGCCATGTGAATAAAACCGACTCAAAAGCTTTAATAAAAGAAACTGAGCTTATGACTGGAAGGAACAGCCATCTTCATTCAATGCAATTCAGTGCAAAGACAAAGAATCCCCTGGCCTTCATGCAATAGCTCTCCCTCCCAAGAAACAAACTTAAAGTGCTCCAAGTGCATTATACAACTGATAAAGGAGAAAGTCAAGATATTTGGGGCAGAGAAAGGAGTAGCTCAACTAGTCTTTGGTGGCTTGTTGAAAAAAAAAAAGGGCAGACAAATTCAAGTCTTAGCTAAATTTTTGCTACAAGTCAAAGACCAATTAAGCAGGGACGGGAAGGAGAGGTGTCTTAAGAGCAGAGCTGTATAGGAATATGCTCAAGGAATGTTTGAAATAACTTAAGTTTCACATATTAATGCTGAAAAATTACCTTTTTCCCTACCCCAAATTTTGAACATTGTGCAGCAAATAGTTCTCCCCACACCTATGAAATGCCTACTGCTGTGTGCATGTGATTAATCCCTGAAGCTATACCTAGCACATCCAGGGAAGTCAACTCAGTGGTCCAGCCTATCTCAAGAGGAATTAAAAGGGCTCTGCAGCTGTTAACTGCAGAACAGCAATCTACTTGCATTGCAGTTGAGATGGAACAGCTGTGAAACAGCTTGAGATTTGAAAAATGAAGCACCTCAAATTCCTCCCAACAGTTTTGCAGCCATATCTTACAATTTATGCCAGTTTTCCCCAACCTGGCCTCTTCCAAATGTATGGAGACTCTCAACTCTTAGATTTCCTCGAGTATGACCCCTGGCAGCTGCAGTGTCGATCTACTTACAGACACCATAGTGGGGGTGGATGTTTTAAATACACCAACTCTCTTCTTGCTGTAGTTGAGTTACTCAGTCTTGGTCACTTTTAAGATGTGTGTACCTCAACTCCCAGAAGTCCCTAGCCAGCCATTGGAGGGATTTCTAGGAGTTGAAGCCCACACCTCTTAAAGTGGTCAAGGTTGAGAAACACAGTTCTGGTTTGATAATCAAGTCTTTGCTCCAGATGGATAGTGCTCCCAATCACAATCCTATTCCACATCAGGAAATCCATCTAATTACACAGAGGATCTCCACCACAGTTTATGCTTCCTGTTTATGTGTATTGTAGTGAGGAAGATGAAGAACTGACAGGCTTGCCAGTGCAGCCATCTTTACAGAGAATTAGTATGGATTAGAAAGCAGCTATGAAAATTCAAGAACTTTAAAAGGTTTCAGTCTATCCCATAGCTACTCTTTGGCCAAGGAGTGAGTTGTAGTACATGTTAGAAGTAACAGAAGTTGAAATGATTAGAAACAAAAACCACCTAGTTTTGTTTGGAATCATCCCCCCCACTTGGTGACTTCAATTCAGTTTTAAAATCCTTATTGAAGTGAAATGCCTAGTCCCAGAAATTATTTCCCAGATTTTTGGGGGGAATAT